TGTCACGTTTATCCGAATCAAGATCGCACAACCCTGGATGGGAGAAATCCATTACACAACCAGGATTTAAACAGGATGCCTGTTAAAGTCAATTGAGTTTATCCTCTAAATCTAAGTGTGGTTCATCCAAATAGCTCTGGTTTGATTTAAGATTTGATTGGATGCTGGACGGCACTGGAACTAACATTGAAGTAACAGGCAAATGAGAACGAAAGAGGATGAAAGACAGACAGGTGGCGGCACTCTGGGGGGGGATGCTCGAAGCCCATCTGGTGAGCCCCGAGCATCTGTAATCACGGACAACACCCCAAAAAAACCACGAGGATCGGACCAACCAGATCAAAATATTCAGCATTTTGGACATGATGTAGCCTACATTCAATCATTCAGGGCTATAAAATATTTACCTAAAAAAAACTTCTATGAATTAATCATAAGTGTGTGAACATGCTCAAAAAACAGGGGGTAAACAAATGTTACGAAACAGTCCTAACACTGAAACATTTCTTGAATAAAATCCCACAGGCACAAATATCAGCACTTACCAGGAAACTGCTATAAGCTCCTTGACAGTGTTTGGATATTCTTAATATGTCCACGAATTAAAATAATAGTATTTGAAAAAATGCAAAATAATGAATCGGCTGCAAGCGATGAAAAGTCATTCTTTTAGACGTAAAGCCACTGACAACAGCAACAAGACTAGCTGGTGCAGGCAGTCACGGCGAGATGCTACAATAACAGCATCCCCTTTTCAGGAAAGGATGGATAAAGGAGGGAGTGACAAGCGTACTGGAGAAATGGAGGCAGAAGGGGAGGAGGGGCACTGTGGAGCATGCTCGCTGAAAATCCCTGGGTATTTACACGTCACGTGACCTGCTCTGAGCTGTCAATCATCGCTGGTTGGAAAATGAAGAGAGAGAAGGAGATGGGAAGGGGACCATTATGTTGATGGGTACAGTGGGGAGGGGTTGGTGATGCTTTCACAGCTGCTTCTATTTTCTGTTTAATTAAAAAAAAGAGGGGAAAAAATGAAACTGTAATCTCTCACAAACCCACCCCCAGGCAAGAAGCCCACCAATGGCACTTGAGATTCCGGCTTAGAGCCGTGGATTAACCCCTTGTATACTGAGAAACAAGCACACCTACACACACACATTCAGTTTCCATGTTTCATGGGGACTTTCCATATGGGTAGTTAACAATGTTTTTTCAAATTTATATGAATATAAATTGATTGCACATGTATATGATTGCACATCCGATTATGTATGTAACTTGAGTAGGCTATATGAAAATAACTTCATATTTCGGCTACACTTCCGGCTCTTGGATCACTTGGATGTGGCTGTGGTGACAAGAGGTAAAAACGATATACTGTTCATTTTCTCACACAAACCGCTCGTTTCGTGTTTTGGGCCATCAATGTGTACTTACATTTATGAGTCATTAAATCATGTTTAATTTGGACTTCTCTGTGCATGCTCTTTGAGGTGGACCCCATAGACCTGCATTATATGACTGACAGACAAGAACGGTTTGACCTAAATTGAAACTACTGCGGAAACAAAGACACCTACATCTTGGATGCCCTGAAGTAAGCTAAAACATATCAAAAATTAATTTCAAAGTGAACGATACCTTTAATGCAGTGGCTACATGTTACTTTAATTGCACTGCATCAAAAAATGACAATAAATGCGTTAATAATGTTACAAAATTATTTTCTAATATTAACCCCTTAACGGTCACGTCCCACAGGTGGATAAGATATTATTTATATAACAATAATATCTTAGAAAAGACCTTAGGTAATATTGACAAACTATATATCATTTGAAAGCTTACAATCTCTAGTTTCCATATTTGGTGACAAAATAAATTGCACAGGAGCCATAATTTATCAATTTGAAACAATAATTATTTTCATAATCATAAAGCGTGTTCAGACCTTTATTTTGAAATAGCAATAAACATAAAAAAATCATGGAAAAAAAGTAGAAACCTCAGTTTGTTTTCATGCCAAGAGTTCTAAAGATTGCATCCATTCAATTATTTTAGAAGAAAAAAAAAAGGATAAAAAAATAATAAATTCACCATTTGTGATGTGGAAGGAAGCTATAATGTTTCTTAGAGGTTGAATTCATATCAAAATCTGCCAAACTTCCCATACTACTTCTGAATAGGAGATAGATATTCCTGACCAGGAATATCTCTACTTCATAAATTGTTTGAAAATTTTAAGATCTCTTAAAACACGTGGAGATGAAGGCGCCCTTATATGGGCAGCAATGGAATCTGATTGTGCCCTAGTGAAAAAGTTTGGTACTGCGCCCAAACGAAATATCAGCTCTTTTTAAAAAAATATACAGTATAAACCTAAAATTTTAAACACAGCTTGTTCAGATTTTTGGCTTTGATTTTTCTGCAGTTTTAGAGTAGCCCAGGTTTTAAAAAATATATGTTATATAAAATATGAATAATTATTTTTTTTAAATAATTAATACATGCTGATCTTTTGAATCTTTTATTCATTAAAGCATCCTAAAAAAAAAGAACCACAGTTTCCACCAAAATATTAGGCTGCATAACTGTTAACAATAATTAAATTAAATTGAGAATAATAAACACTGAGAAAAAAAAAATATAGAGCATCAAATTTTCAAGGATCATGTGAACAATAAAGACTGGAGTAATGGCTGCTAAAAATGCAGCTTTGCCATCACATGAATAAATAACATTTTCCAATATATTTAAATAAAAGTACATCTTACAATATATATATATATATATATATATATTATTGTTTCCTGAGCACAGTAAGCTGAGTGTCAGTGGCAGGTGATGCTTCTCAAATTTCATCTGCTGAATCTTCAGCTGGATTTAATCTAATTCCTAACATTCCAGACTCTCAACTACAGCAGACAGACACACCTTTAGCTCACACAAGCATCAACAGATACAGAAGATTACTGCAATTACATTGTATGTCGCTTCTTGTTGGCCAGACAAGCCTAAACACTTAAAGCAACAGCTGAAAGAGTCTATTGCAAATACTTGTCTTATTCCAGCAGCAATTTAGAGCTGGAACTCAAGTATAGGGTGACTTATAGTTTAGATAACATTTTATTGTTTTATAAACCATCCAAAACGGCAACAAATGCTTCTACAAAAATACTAAAAGTGGTCCTTTGTCACATCTTGTTCTTTTTAAACCACTTTTATCACTCCTTGTAGACCTAAAACAATTGGTATACAGCGGCATCAAGTGGTAAACAGTAAACAGTGTTCTCTATGGACAATTCTACACAGCGCCATCTAGTGACGAACGATATACTGTGCTCTCTAATTACATATAATAAACAGCGCCCTCTACTGACTGATAAAAAAATAACCAAAAGCGAGCTTAAAATATGTTTTCTCATATGTTTTTTTTTTTTCTCTCATTTTGTTTGCATACTGCCCTGGCTGTCGAGCAAGTCTTCTCTCTAAACATTCAGTCACTAAAACAGTCAAAGAAAAAATAGCAGCCTGGCTGGAAAAATATGCAAAAATGTACAAAATGTAAATATTGACTTTTTCAAAATGAAAATAGAAGGGAAAGGACTGTTTGTCACGACTCACGTTTGAGTCAACAATGTTTTATTATGTTCCAGTTCCTAAGCCGCATTGGCAATGGGGGAAAAGCATGTTAGTTTGGTTTATCCGTGGACTTATATCGGCTGGTCACTTACAGTATTTTTAAATTGGATAAAGTAAACACCATGCCTTAATGAACACATCATCATTGCTCATAGGCCTACCGTTTCTGCAAAGCCGTCCCACATTCCTTTAACGTTAAGTTACTTTCCAATTTCTACAGCAAACTCTCCCTGTAAACACATTATATCCCTTGAGAACTCGCACTTCTTTGTCGTGTCAATACACCAACATCGAGCTAATAAAGACTCCAAATAACAACACAAGTAAGAACTAGAAAGTGTCTAAAATCGAAAATGGTTTATGAATGAATAACTTATCTTGAAACTCCTCCTGACTGACTGAGATGATCACATCCCATTATGCTGTCGTCCAAACAAAGAACTAGGATTTGTTGTCATGTGGATGAAATGATGGCGTCTTCAAGGTAACATTATTCCGTCGAGTACATGAATCCACAAAATAATCAGGACTCAGTGCTGCTGAATGATGATGTAGAGATTGGAATATTAGCAAACCACACTTAGTTCTGAGTACTGTGCACCACAGGCCTATCCTGTCAATTGGCTTTTATGCACAGCTGCACTACTTCCTGAACTTAAGCCAGCTCCTTGTTTCCTGTCTGCCATTTTTGGACAAATTGATTAATTCAGGTGTGCCTGACCTCAGTAGTCACGGCAACAATAATCAGGCACACCTGAATTCATCAAGTTTGTCCTGGAAGACAGGAAACAAGGAGCTGGCTTAAGTCCAGGAAGTAGTGCAGCTGTGCATAAACTTTATAAACAGTAATTGGCTTTAATAAAGCCAAGTGCACAAGTTTATGCACAGTATGAGAGTAGAATGAGAAACAGTAAGCATTAATTACAATCCAAAATTTTAAACAGTAGACCTAGTGTGCTACTTTGTCGCATGGATGTACAGAAATAAAAGTGGTATTTTTAAATCCAGTTTTGAAAAACATGTCAACGGGTGATAATCAAATAATGAGGAATAAATAACGGCTTATAGCCTATTTAACAAATATTACTACAGTTCATGCGGGAAATTGAAGGTTTAAGCAGCATTTTGCAATGTAGTATTTAGTATTGTATAAAGTAGGCTACTTACAATATACTGCAACAACAATAAACCAGCTTTCATGTATTAGAGAGCAAGAAAGTTTCATTTTCTAAACCAACACACATTTGATATTTTAATTTTATAACTTTTTACCACTGAAAATATACATGTCATGCCAAGGTATAACAATTTGTGTGATTTGATGCAGTATAGTGCAAAAAACAAAACGAGTACACGAGTCATTTTTTCGGCTTTACCTTTTATTGATTGTTAATTAAATTATGACTAGCCTTTCATCACAAACGCCATAACAGATGCTGAAATGCTAAAATGTATTACAAAAATAAAATGCTTTAATGTTATACTGATTAACAAATTACCTTTATGCTTCAACATCAAGCATATTATATATCAGATCAAAACCATGCATTTTGTCCCTGCATTTCACCTTTATAGTCAAGATTTTACTATGTTAGTCACAGCTGCCACAGTTCAAAGCACAGAGAAAAACCCCATTACACGACAGCGATTTCCACAGATTAAGATAATTGGTTGTGTCCACTAAATAGTGATGGGGAAAAGAACATCTTTCCATTCAGGATCATGCGAATACATTGCACTAAGGCCCACGTCCATATACCTCCACTCAAACACAGGAACAGACACTGATAAAAGCATTGCTCAGCTCCAGCAAAATACCACTAGGTTTAATGCGGGTAATGAGTGTGATTACTCTTGGGTATTGTTCACCTGGTGCGCCCTGTAGCATGAAACACTGAGACCCGGTTTCATGAATCCTTTGCAGAGCAGAAGAACGTTATCTTTGGCTTTGAGTTTGTAAGAAGGCCTGCAAGACGAAAACAACAGGGACTGGAAAGCTAACCACTTTCCCTCCAGAATACTTTCGCACTAATACAGTTCTAAGGGAAACATCAATTTAGTGTCACCTTGTGAGGTGGAGTTAGTGCACTTGTGTGTACTGTTCGTGCATCACTAAAACAAGTCAAATAATCATTAAATCAACTTTCCAACAGGCATGAGAAAAACAAAAACAAAAAAAACTCTGAAGTAGATGCAATTGTAATTTTGAAACTTTTAGTGTTCGGCACTGAGTGGGAATCCTGCGTTCAAACATGTGTTAAACTCTGTTTTTCTCCTTTAAGTTTAACTATTGTAATAAGGGCTAAAAAGGACAATGTGACTTTCATGAAAGAAAAACAAAATGCATATTTCCAAAATCCACACGACAATCAGCACAAAACATTTCAGCACGACTCGAGTGAGGTGACTTTCCCTGGCAGGAACCATGGAGTTCCTTGGATTTGTGAATTGTGAGCCCTTTGAACATTTAAGGGCCTCCTGATGCCCTGAATTAAACTATTGATATATATATATATATATAGATATATATTATTTTTATTCATCGTTTACACTTACCGCCAAACAACAAACAAAGCTTTTGATTAGCTAGCACTGTAGAGCCTATGAAAAATGTCCAGGCGGAAAGTAGGAGCAAGGCAGTAGCTGATAGTCTCTTCAACTTCCTGTACACGGCGCTGAAAACGACAGCGGTCCCGGGCAATTTCCTCCCAGGGCCCATGGCGGTCCTCATCGCTGCTGGCATAGAACTCCTCGACCTCTTCCATAAATGTCACCTGAGAAAGGAATAAACAAAAAGACTGGGTATAATAAAATGTCATCTATGTTTAACAAGCTGTAGAAGTAGAGCATTTCTTTGTCATTAAAACCTGGCATCCCATGAGTGTTCAACATTCTTGAAAGCAAATGAGAATCAATAACTAATAAACTAAAGGAAAAATTGACTAACTAATTTGCAATTTAGACCAAATGCTCTTATTTCTGCTCCCTTTTCAGACTCGTCACTTCACAGTTGCCAAGTAACACAAGATTGTGCTTAAACTGTTGAGAATTGAGATATAACGTGAGGGTGTATGTGATTGTGCCCGCAGACTGACACTAATGACTCTGACTAGTGTGATGACAGAGTCATGAAATGCGGCACGCTATAAAGTGATAATGAGTAATGGGCAGCGAACAAACTCGGTCTCCCTGGAGACAGCAAAATGGAACCATTGCATCAGATCATCACAGACAGAGGAGGGGGGAAATGTTTAAAAAAAAAATGATATTGCATGGCTTTACATCATGTTCTCATGCCTAGCCTATGTTGCCATTTTGACAAAGAATGGAAACAAGGCAGAATAATAGCGTGAAAGAAGATTAAGTGTTGCTGCTACCATTCATTGTATACAATAAAGGATTATTACACATAACTAAATACTCTATTGTTGATCTGATGAGGACAAACCATTATTTCGAATATATGAAAAGCACGTTTCATAGTGTAATCTCTTACCATCTTGGCAAATCTATAATGTAGTTCAATTTATAAATAGGCATCAGGTGTCAAGAAATAACAATGGGCAACAATTTCTTATTCCAGGTTTATGTTAATGTATAAATTATTATTGTTCATTGTTAATTCATGTTGACAATTTTTGAAATGTTAAAAATCAATTGTGTAATTACCATTCAAAACCTTGGGGTCTGAAAGATAGTTTTTCAAAGGTGATGATACACGGGGCAACTTTTTGAGCAATGTTGCCGTCAACAGGCACCCAGGAGGACATTTGTTGCTCATTCTCAATGGGAAAGTGCCCAAGCAACATCACTTGGAAATATTGCTCAAAAAAAGTTGCCCGTGTATCATAACCATAAGGCTGCATTTATTTGTACAAAGAGTAATATTGTTAAATATTATTACAATTTAAATTCACTGTTTTCCATTAACATATTTAATTTTTGTATTTATTTATGTGATGGCAAAGCTGCTTTTTTAGCCAATTCGTCAGTGTCACATGATTATTCAAAGAATTTAAATATGCTGATTTGCCATTCATGAAAATTTTATCATCATCAATGTTGACAGCTGACATTTTTTTAGGATTACTTAATGAATGTACAGTTCAAAAGAACAGTATTTATTTGAAATATAAATCTTTTCTAAAAACAAAAGTCTTTACCGTACATTTTGATTGATTGTGTTCTTGCTGAATAAAAATATTAACACCACAGTTCAAAAATTTGGGGTCGGTAAGACGTTTTTTAAGGAAGTCTCTCATGTGCACTAAACGGTTGTATTTATTGAATCAAAAATACAACAATAACAGTAATATTGTGAAATATCATTACAATTTTAAATAACTACGCTGTTTACACTGTTAAAACTGTTTCCACAGAAATATTAAGCAGCGTAACCATTTTCAACTGATGATATGAGATAATATGAGAAATGTTTCTTGAGCAGCAAATCAGTATAATAGAATAATTTCTAATGGATCATGTGACACTGAAGGCTGCAATGAAGCTGAAAATTCAACTTCACAGGAATTACATTTCTAAATTTATTAAAATTTCAATAATATCACAACTTTACTGTATTAATGTATTTTTGATCAAACAAATGATCAAACTTCTTCCCAAACACATAGAAATCAATATTAACTTAGATTAATAAATGTTGTAAAAATAATTAATGATAACTAGTGCATTAATATCAAAGAGTTACTACTTTATTTTACCTACCAGTGTTTAAGTCCCGTGTAGTGAACCACTGCTGCAAGCACTTCAATTTCCTCCAGGAGGCTAATAAAGTCTTATCTTATCTAAAACAACTATATTAGATATTAAAAACAAAGGTTGCCATGTTGGCGGTTTAAAATTTAAGTTCCTAAGGAAATTGCTTCCTCAATCAGCAAAAATTAACTTACCAGGATATGATGAAGCATGTGTAATAATTTTAAACATTTTGGTGAAATTACAGTGTATGAACAGTCTATGACTATAAACAAAACTGCAGCAAAACTACTCTATTAACAACCAACCACATGAGTCAAAGGAGATACTGTCTCCATCTGATTCATTCTTCAATTCTCGACACAAGTGTGCTTAAGCCAACCACACCACCTCGTACTTTGTAAGCAAACAAAACGTTCAGAAAGATAATTATACAAGTACTTTCAGACTGGAATGTGATGTAATAATAAACAGTCAATGTTATACAAACCTTCCTCAGCTGAACAACTGTGGCACTGCTTGAGCACGGCATAGGGGAAATCTCTGAGAATCCGCTGTCCAGCCGGTCCTCAGCCTCCTCTCTCTTGTAGTGTGGCGTTCCAGGCGCCTTCTCCTTGCAGGTGACTTTGAGGGTTTTCTGAGTCTGAATAGAGGCCTGGAAGTTGTAGAGGCTGTAGGGGTCTGCTGAGCAGCTAAAGGAGTTCCAGAGTCTCTGATTCTCTTCCTCATCCATCTCACAGGTGTCTTCACTCGACTCGTTCTCTGAGAGCGAGGGCGACGACGGAGGCGGAGGATGCTGGGAGGACATGCGCGCTGGTGGAGACTCGGAGACCGAGGAGTCTGTGGACACAGGGCTTGGCTTGGAGGCTGTCCTTATAGGAGCTCTGAAGTTCCTCGGGTTATAAGGATCCCCGTTTTGGCACAGAGAATTCCACAGCCTCTCGGTCTCGGAGTCGGCCTCCTCTCCATCCGAGTCTTGCTCAGATTCATCGTCGCTGTCATCCAGGTCCTCAGACTCTGAGAAGTGGGATGAGCCTACACTGTCAAAGCCATCATCGTCATCACTGTCCCAATCGCCATCATCCTCCGATTCAGATTCGCCACTGCAAGGGCTGCCCATGATGTAAGCAATTACCTTGTTTTGACATTGAGGCGTGGCCAAAAACTGACCGTTTTCAGCAGCCGGAACTGCTTTTGTAGTCTTCTCAGATTCCTCTTGTTCACTTTCCTTAATTTCCTCCTCACAAATGACAGGTTCACTATGACAGTCACTCTCTGTAGTGTTACTCTGAGATGGGTTGTCTTCGGCTGTTTCCGACACCTCCTGTTCCTTGGAAAGCAGCTTCATGTGAAGTTTACTATTTGAGTGTTCTTCCTCCAAGCTGGAGTAGCCATTATCTTGGTCAGGGGTCAGAACTGCCACATCATTATAGGCTCTACTACAAACTAGAAGTTGCTGTTTAACATCTAATGGAAGCTGGTATGAGTTGGGAAGGGATTCCGGTTTGGGCATGTGCAGGCTTGCATTGTGGGTCAGCTCTTTGGAGCACAAGGGACCAGTGCTTTCGTTGTGCATTGATGGCTCATCATTGCTACATACACACAGATCGTTCGTCATGGCAACGGCCGCAGTCAAGCGGCTCTGACAATAGCCGACACTGTGATGTTCTTCACAATGCTGCCAGCTAGTGTCAGTCTCTTTTCTGCTTTGTGCTACATTTAGCAGCAAGTATTGAGGTTTGTCATCAGCCTCCCCAAATTCACCCCTCCACCATCTGTTAGAGGATCGCACGGTATCCGGGCACAAAACGCATCCGCTTTCTGGTTTCGCGCGCCTTTTTTCCGGAGTGTTCATTAACACCTGGCTGAGCAAGTTTCTCGCCGTTCCGAGGTATCCGACCGATGCCTGCTTTTGGAGATTAAACTCTTGCTGGGAGGTGTTTTGAATTCCCAGTTCGCTCAACGAATCGTGCGTGAACCAGACTAGAGTCCCCCGATCTCTGGAGGACGCATGCGCCGCGTTTTCATGCTGGCAGTGGAGATATTCAACTCTCAAAGGGGCCAGAGAGTTTCCAATATCTAGATTTGAATTCATTTCAAATGAAGTTTGGGCTCTTCCCGGGAAATATCTCTGCAGGAAAGACCAGGCAGGCCTGGAGACCACCGAGAACACGCTTATCCACGAGCTGTCAGTGCGCTCGTCACCGCCACGCGCGGGCCGCGTGTCCCCTTGAGGAAAGTGTTCATGTGTGCTCATACTTATGAAAAATATGAAATGCGATGAACTACATAAACTTATCGCAAATAGAAAACTAACAAATTAATTTACTTCCTTAAGAAGTGTCTCGTTAAACACACTGTTAACTGTGACTTAATTTGCATAAAAGTGCTGCGGCTTCGAATGTCGTTTAAATGTCTCAGAATTATGATAATATACAGAACATTTTCTAATACAACAAATATATCCTTATACGGCTTAGCTGGCTAACGCAGCTAGTATCAGGCTTTAACGTTACTATATGGCTAAATGTTAGCTACGAAAAACCAAAACACTCCGTTTTCTCATTTCTTCCAGCCCTTAACACCATCCATGAGTAACTTACAGATGAATATTTTCTGGGGTAAATGAAAGAGTCCATGTCGTTTAGACTGTGATGAGTCCATGCCGGCTCGCGCTAATAGCTTTGGCGTCCATATTGACCGCAGTGTTAACGCCAACTGTGCCGTCCTGAGGAAAAGAACACCAATTATTTCGGGTTGAAGGGACTGTAGAAGCAGCAGAAGGAAAGGAAAGGCATTCGCAGGTGGTGTACGAGTAAGACAGGCTGGTATACTCCAAAGGAAAGCTTGAAACAAAAGCCATTTTGACGTTTGAGTGGAAGCGAGCGTCGGTTCTTCAACTGTCAAGTCTTCAGTCACCTCAATCTAGCCCGGCTGCCGCGTTTTTCGAAAGAAAATACTGTATTTTTGTTGGAGAAAAAACGTCAGGAACATCAAAACCGAGTCAAAGCGGGGTCCTTACGAGTTACAAAACAAGTGGTTTCACTTTTATCTCGTTTTAAATGGAAATACTTGGTGTTTAGACTCGTTGACGTCGCCGTTTTGTTCCCTAGCCGCTGAGCTAAAGCGGAGAGATTTCATCAGAAAAGCTGTAAGGGAGTGTCTCTAATTTTCAGTACCATTACCGCGCGCCTGGGGACCGTGGTAAAATTCTGATCTCACGTGGTAAATTGATGCGTGTGTTATATAAGATGTTCCGTGCATGCATTCCCCGCAATGCACGGCAACACATCTCTCAGTATGTTCTAATTCTACTCTAGTAGTTCGACTTATTTATACGAAGTCAAGGAAACTTTCAGCATGAATTTGACATATTGTTTTACACACACACACACACACACACACACACACACACACACACACACACACATATATATATATATATTTCCTTTTGTGATTTTCACTAAATACCAGTATTTAGACAGTCAACTGAAATATATACTTGTTTAGAAAATATTAATGACAATATAAAAAAATCTTTGCTAGTGCCCTAATATAGATGGTATTAAATCTGGCAGTGAACACGAGCCTGAAAATCATTTTATATTTTACATGTATTGGATCACGTAGTTTTGTTGTAATAAATAAAAATAAAAAAACATCACTTATAGGCATTAATTACTCATTTAACTGTGTGTGTGCGAACGTTCTCTGCATGAAATCTTGGTTTCTTAAAGGGATACTTCACCTCTGGAAAGATGAATGCGTATTTAAACTTGGTCATTTATGTATAAGAAATGTGAAATTATTTTTGAATTTGGAGCTTTCTAGACTGAGAAAAGCCAGAAAATGTATTTTTGGCTCTTACAGAATGCACTTGTTTTGCTGCCCTAGGAGGCCACACCTACCAGTAACAGAGCGCAGTAGTTAAACAAAAAGTCTAGGCTACTAGTGAGTCTCCGTGATGAGTGTGCCCGAAAATGTGTTTCGATATCGCCCAAAATGTCCGGGATTCGGCTTTAGCGTTCTACAATCGCCATTCATTATGTTTACTGTGGCGAGCAAGACGACGCTAGGGCCATGGGAGAATGGGGCGAGGCCGGTGGCGTGATTACCGATGAGTGACACCTGTGAGACGCACCGGTCTCGCATCGCTCACGGAGGAGCAGGAATTTTCTTAGCAATGCTAAAACGCACAAAAACCGATCACGTGTTAGCGTTCATGTAAACAATACATTCAGATTCACCAATTGTAATGAATTCAGTTAGACTGAACCAAAGGTGTGCATGTAAACAATGAATGGCGACTGCAGAAAGCAAAAGCTGAATCCCAGGCATCGATGGCCGGACAGGTCCGGGAAAAAGAGGATGGTAACCCCTACTATTCAGGGGTGCGTTTCCCGAAAGCATCATTCGCCAACTATGGTCGCAAATTCCGTCGTTACCAATAGAGTTAAATTGAAATTGCGACAAACTTGCGACCATAGTTGGCTAATGATGCTTTCGGAAAACGCAACCGGTTGAAAACATGTGGAACAGCCCCTACTACTGACTGTATTCTCTAGCCTCTGGCCACAAAATCCTCCGATGTCACAAAATGACGACATTTGACGATTACACGGACGAAGTTACGTTAGCTAATCTAACCAGCGGGTCAAATCATATTCCAGTGCCACCCTGTGCCCCCTTTCTAGACACCCCGCAAGTAAAAACTGATTCCAAGGTTGTCCTAATTAAACTCAGTCTCAATGGAATGTTTTAATTTGTTACATTAACATAGATGAATGAGAAATGTCATCAGAATTGTCTGGAGTATCAGAATAATTTGTAATGTGGAAGAACATGGACTGTTCAGACAGGCAATTAAAGCCTTTATGATAAACCCCAGTCTGATGTAATCCTTGCTTCAGTGTGATGACAGACAGACAAAACAGCATATGGGATAAAGTCACACGTGTCTCAGTAAAGTGGATTGTGGTCAATCGTGCCCAACTGAGATTCAACATGGAATCCATGTGAATGTGCATCTAAACAAGACTTGCACAAAAGTTTCATCATTTGACATTGATCATTGCACCATCTTTGTAGAGGATGATGTGGTTTAACAGACAAACTGGTAGCAAAGGCAAGAGAATAGAATTCAAGTCAGTTTCCTTGTGCATTTATTAAGTGCAAATACATTTTAAAAACATGGTCTAAAATTAGAAATGGAGAAAAAAATGGAATAAAGCCCATTTATAATCCATAGATCACATCAAAATTAGATTCTCAGCATTTACATGTCAACCCTATTGATTTTACACTCACATTTCTCTCTAGTTATTAAAATAAGGGTGACAGATGTTATAAAAGATCTAAACCTTTAAACCCAATCTTTTCTGCACATTCACAACAAAAAGATTTTCAAAACAAACGCTCAGTTTTCCATTATAGAGTTGGCATGCAATCATTTCCCATTAGGTTAAACCTCACACAGTAGTTCCCTTTGGAAAAAAAAAAAAACACAATCATTCATCATTTGAAAGTACTGTACTTGGAAAAAGAGAGAGAGAGAGAAAAAAAAAAAACATCATCTGAGCCGGTTTGTCTGGTTAGAAAAAGCCATGGAACAACAGGGACTACATTGACCTGGATAATCATATCCAAGTTTGCTTAAGGCTACTGGATTGTTAGTGCACCTCGACATAGGGTTGAACTTTCAACTTGTTGGTAATTGATTTAAAGACATTAATTCAATGAAGATTAAAAACAGTTCCTGTCATAATGCATTTTGCTCAAAAAACTTCATAGTTTTCCCATTTTATTATTTTACACACACTAAACATCAATGGCGATTGGTTAAACTAGACAATTTTATGATTCAGATTAAACACAAATTTAATGACATTTCCAATTACTTCTTTTTCCCTTCCTACCTTACTGTGAGCTATAATGTTTTTCCTCTCAAATCAAACTGAGTGCAAAGTAAAGCAAATCGGAATGCAAAATATTTAAGCATACGTTTCCCAGAAAAAGAAAGAAAAAAAAATCTACTGTGGTATATTTAGCATTTAATTTACATGCAGTTTTACATAAAGAGGAAGAGGAATGGAAATACTGACAGAACTACAGTCTAAAGTTTTAATTTCACTCCCCCTTTGAAAAAAAGGGGAAAAATAAATTAACCAATAAAACTTGGAAAAATATGAGGTCAATGTACTTGACAAACAAATGCAAAAATGCAATATTTAATTTTACAGCATGCAAATCAACTATTTTCAAATAGAATTTCCCTTGTGTAGGTTATGTTGATATATCAAGGTAAAATAATCGACCCTGAAGTAAAGTCCCTTTGAAACCCTTTTATGTATAAAAAAAGTTGTGCCATCATTTCAGAAAGAAACAAATGTTAGTGGTTTATGTAAAGAAATAATCCATATTCCTCATGGTTTGTCTCGGTTGTTCAATATACTGTACATGCAACTCATCTTTTTGTTTTTATGCATCCACCTATTTTACATGATCAAATCTACATTCACTCTATTCTCCGTGTGTCGTTTCCACTGCAGTGGTTATTTGAAGCAAGTTAAATCCACCATGGTTTCAAGACTATCAAGTGTTCATCCCTTTTTTTAAATGGTCAGGTAAAAGCCACAGTTAACGTGAAATTCCCAACTTAACTGTACAAAAGCGGCCCTCACAATTCATTTTTAGGTAAATCTGCAAAATCTGATACAAAGAGGCATAACTAAATGTCACAAGACACAACATAGCTCAAAATTGAGCCACAATAGAGAAACATCTTGAAAAGAAAATAACTTAAATTTCCATCAGCATCCTCAAGAAAACAAAATGGGGCTTTGAAGTTTCATGGACAGCAATTTTCCAGAAATCCCCCCCAAAAATATGGCGCATGGAAGTCATTTCATCTTTAAATATTCTTTTTGCCAATCCTTGTGTCACCAAATGGTTTTTGTCCCATAGTGTTACCAAGAACCGCTTCTGGTTCACATGGTGCACGGTACCCCACCAGAACAGTATCAAGTGATGACACTCCATCACCGAATCTACACATCTCCTGGGTAGGAGAATCAACAAACACAAACCCCCACTGGAGGAAACAGTCTTCTGAGCAGCTGGGCATCTCCAACTCCTGACCCATAAGCAAAGACAGACAAACACATGCACACTCAAATATACAAATGAAATCCTTCACTTCTGGGCATCCATACAAGCGCTAACGGTTTATGTCAGAGCCTCTGGTGCCAAGCTGGTGCCAGTCTACCATGCGATGGCCTGGGGTGAGGTCTTTCAATTGGATGATGGTTTCACCCAGCAGGGTGTTGTCCCAGAATGCTCCCTCATTCAGTACCCGCAGGTGAATGGTTCTCTGCTGCAAATCACCACGTGGGATCTTATCATACACCAGCTGAAACAGAGACAAACGGATGTCATTCAGGAAGATTCAAAAAAGTAGAGTGCAACAGTGCCCACCCACTTGTTCCAGAAGCATTTATAAAGAAGTCTTCATTGTAGAATTATAAGGCATGAACCAAACTAACTAGGAATAAGGTCAATCAAAACTACATTTTGAGAAAAAAAAAGAAAGAAAAAAAAAGGTACAAGACTAAATCAATCGATTAACCTCAAAACTCACAGTAGATCTTAGAGTTCAGATCAGAAGATCTTTATCGTTAAAAATAATTTCCCCTATGTAAAAAAACAAAACAAAAAAAAATTATCTTTTCTGTTACACTCTTTAGTATCATTTAATAGTGATGTTTTCTCACCATCTCATTGTAAGTGGGGTTGCATGTTCTCCGTGCTGCCTTGGTCTTTCTCTTGCTAGTTTTCTGAGGGTCTGGGAGGAGGTACAATTTAACGTATGGATCAGGATCCGTTCCCTCCTGTAAAGGTTGCTGAAGAAAAGTTCAAAACGCATTGGTGAGTGCCAACTGAACATTTGTATGTGCGTATGATTAATGGCAAACACTCACCAAGCCTCTGATGTGCATCACCATAATGAAAAGCTTGTCGCTCTTGTACAGGATCGAGAGCTTCACTTCACCTGCCACTGTACCAGGCACAGGAGCCCAGGACACATCTGGGGAGGAGGAGGAACTGGATTTAGTGTGGAAAGGTGCGTGCGTGCCAGGTGAATTAAGTAAATAATCTAATTGGATTTCCAGAGCTGGAACCTGTTGCGCAGAGACCTTTATCACAAATAAGATAAGGTAACCCACCAGATGTTATGGCTGCCCCAGTGCAGCTACTACTCATGATGACTTTCAATATTTAACTAGTTGTGATAAACTCTCAGGGTTTGATCGATGGAAGTGTTTACAAAATGTCTGATGCAGGCCTGGTGCCAGGGGGAGAATTGGGGTTGTTTATTTTCCATAGACCAGCAAATAAGATGATTCTTGCGAGGGAATACTTTCCTAAATATAATCAGGCAGATTTTTTATGTATAAACTCCAATTTTTACTGTGCGAGCAAACGGCAAGATTATAACAATTAAACAACTGGCTTTAAATATTGGCATTGTACCCAAAAGAACATTAAATTAAAATCATATCTTGAAAATATTGACTTGGTTGACACACATCTTTTTTCAAAACAGTTTTATTCATTCAAATTTCAAGGGTACTGTTAGATATATAAAGCTTAAGATATTGAATAAAATAATCCATCTCAATTAATTTAACACTTTCTTGGAGCTCAGATTTAAAATCCCTTGTGTCAGAGTGCATAAAGTTTTGTGATTGCAGGCACATTACACTATTAAAAGATAAGACCCTGGATAAGCACTGGGTGTGTCACAATCACATGGACTGCAGCTGATTGACCCAAACAGATATTACTTTTGCACCGACTAACTCAAGAAGATTTGCTGTGATGACAGGATGAACAGCATGAACTTTGAGTCCATCATATACTAAAGCATGAGTAAGTAGAGGGATTCATAAGAAGTGTATGTGGGTGTGTAGAAGACAAATAAGGCAAAGACATATACCTGCTGGTTTATTATGGAGTGCATTAACAACAGTTCCTACACTTCCTGCCCGCTCATCTCTTGGTAGAGGGTGAAAGAAGGTGTAGATCAGATCACACTGAAAAAAAGAGGGTAAGATTACTGACTGCAGTTAACATATGAGCAGGTGTACAGTCACAGCAATAGTATGGATGATATGTGATCTGGCAACATTCTTGAGATGCACCCTACAGTACAGCACAGCACGTGTGTAAAAGCGTGCACTGTCTGGACGGTTTCACAGAACATGGCTGATTTCCAAGAAACATGCCAGTTAAACTGAAACCACTAACATTAATTACTGTGAGCTGCCCACATTTCTATTTACTATTATTATTCAGGAAATAAAATAATGGTGGTGTGGTTGGTGAATGTAAACATGCATTTGGCATTATCATTTTTATTTTCAACCACTTGTTTTAAAATTTGGAATCCGTAAGATTACGCAAGGATGAATTTAATTTATCCAATGTGAAAGAAGGCATTTTTAAATGTTACAGAAGATGTCATTTTAAATTAAAATTATTTAAAAAAAGATTTTCAGAGAATCCTATATAAATATATATAATAATAATAAAATATACTGTATATAATAATACAATTTTTATTATTATATATATAATATAATTTTATAATAATAATAATAATAATATATATATATATATATATATATATATATATATTTAACAAGGAAATGTTTCTCGAACATCAAATCAGTGTATTAGAATTATTACTGAAGGATCATGTGACTTGTAATCTGAAGACTGAAAGTTCAGCATCATTACTCCACATGAATAAATGACATTTTAAAGCTTTTACAATTTTTAAGTAGCAGTTCTTACATTTTATTATGCACAAAGACAATAAATCGAATGTATAGAGAAAAAATTGCAAACAAAAGTGCAAATACAATATGCAAATCAGATATAAAATATCTATATACACCACTCCAAACGTTTTGAATCAAAGTGCAAATGGATGAGGGGAAGAGTTATAAAATATAAAGACAATAATGAAAGTGGGTCAAAGGTTACCTCTGCCACCTCTGGAGAAGCATGGATCAAATGCCAAACATATCCATTTAGCTCCTCTTTCCTTCTGTCTGCCAGGGCCTCTCCTCGAGACCGACCAATCACAAAGCGGCTGGGGAAGCTGTGGGAACATTATATTTTGAGGGGTGTGAAATTAAAAGAAGAGCACTACTACTACATGGCATATTTTACCACAAAATACATCCCGAAGTATGATCAGGGTCCTGTACACCACTCTGAAGAGCTTTATTTTTTGTAATAGAAATTGATGGTTGATCAAAACATTGCTTAATACATTCATACCAACAGTACAGAGAAGAAATGTACTACGACCAGCTTTCATTTGGTTTCATAACTTAATCGCAGTTTTCAAACTAAATATATCCACTGATAACAGAAACCTGCATAAGTTCCCACTACAGTCAGCAGTTTATCAAATCACTCAAGGTCAAGGTGTACGAGGTGTATTCAGTGAGTTTTTGATTTCATATTCACATTTGTCAGGTTTTAAAATGGTACCTGGGTAGTTTTGAGGAAGGGAAGATGAGCTGCAGTCTACTGTGAAGTTCATGGAACTCCTCGAAGGTCCTCTGGACTAAAGTTGTTGTCCCCGGTTGACCTTCCCGCTCCACTTTTACAACATAAGACTGCATGAAGGCGTAAATAAGTGAACAAATACATTATAATAGGTTATACAGATCTTCATAATGCATTCGGGCTAAATTTAAACGCAGTAGACTTACGTAGCCTTTGCTAGGACTAAAGGTTTTGATGTGTCTGCAAACAAACAGGCTCCGAATGACACCGTCACTCTTAAGAGTGTAGACGCGAGGAGCAAATGATAGAACGGGACGCTCCTCAGAGGATGCAAACTTCATTTGGGCCAGGTTATGGATGAAGAAGTTGAGTTTGGTAGCCACACTGCCAAGACTTGACTCAATCAGCCTAGAAGATGGGAGAAGGTTAAGATGAAGGCTATACAAGACAAATTGATTTAAAAGGACACTGGCAATAACTTGTAAGGTCTCACCTGGTGAAGTGCATGGTGGCATCTGCTTCTGATTCATGTGGTCTCAGAGCATCATAGACGTATTTCAGATCATCCACGTCAGACAGCTCCGGTATCCCACTGGACAGCATCTGCATACAAACACACAGTTAGACCAGAAGAATACAAAGCATTCAAATAACAGGCAACTCAGTGAATGCATTCAACTAAAACAGAATGTGGGAAACTCGTGAAACACCGGTATGTGGAGTTATCTGGGAACTCACCAGGCCAAGCAGGTTAAGAAACAAATGTGCGTGTTTCCTAATGAGATTGTAGGCCTCACAGCACAAGTCCACAAAATCATGGAAGCGGCTTGATGGCTTGTCACCTCCATTGATGACATATGCCATGTCAGACGTAAACACGAAAGGAGCCCGGTCGCTGTAAGAAAGAAATGTGAAAGAGGTTGTTGTAAATCAGTTGCAGTGATCAAAATGTGGGGCAGAGGAACTCTTTTTTTTCATGCTCTTTTTGTGTTCCTACCGTTTGATGTTGCCAAACATCTGTGCATGCCCCAGGAACTTGCCGAAGTCAATATGGAACATGTGTCCACTGGTCTTCAGCATGATGTTGTCGTTGTGCCGGTCGCATATGCCTAGAATGTATGTGGCCACACAACAACCAGCACACGAATAGATGAAGTTTTCCACCGCCTGTGAAAAAGCAAACCAACAGAATTAGTTTAACTAAGCACTTTGAGACACCAAGGGATTGAATCACCAAATCTCTCAATACATTTTCATATTATTTTTAGGACAGGCAAAATAAGAAACATGATGCAACCCAAATGCAACTACCTGCTTTGCTTTCCTTGCGGTGATACTCTATAATAATATGCATATGACAATAAACTTGAACTGAACTAAAGCAGCTATGGATTGACATTTCACACATACCATCTAGTTGAGCAAATTAGTCTTAAAGGGTTAGTTCACCCAAAAATGAAAATTCTTTCAGTATTTACTCACCCTCATGTTGTTCCAAACCTCTATGTGTTTATTTGTTCTGCTGAACACAAAGGAAGATAATTGGAAGAATGTTTTAATCAAACAGATCTCATTCCCTACTGACTACCAATGGGGAATGAGATCTGTTTGATTAAAACATTCTTCCAATTATCTTCCTTTGTGTTCAGCAGAACAAATAAACACATAGAGGTTTGGAACAACATGAGGGTGAGTAAATACTGACAGAATTTTCATTTTTGGGTGAACTAACCCTTTAATAGTATAATGAATTTTATACAGTACCTTTTCATACTCCTCTTCAGTCGGGTTGTGTTTTTGCAGCCAGTCCGCCAAGGTCCGGTCCTTAAAAGAACCAGTTACTCCATGCTCAACCTGGATCTTCCTCAGGGTTTCTGCACTTGGAATCATTTCTACCATCCCTACACAAGGGAAATTAGGAGTTGTGAAATTACTTCCATCCCTCAGTGTTATGATTGTATAAAATGTGAATTTCAAGTCTATAGAGCGGAATCGAGGGTTTGGGGGGGAAAGTAGTGTCACAAGTGACAAAAATGCTCCAGAGATTTAGAATTAGTTTAATGAAACATTAAAAAAAATATACAAAACATGACCCTGAAGGTGATGTTTAAATGTATATAAAATCTGAAATGCTCCAGGTATTGAAAATGTGAGGAAACAAAAATATTCTTAAACTTATACTTAAAAAAAAAAAAAAAAAAAAAAAATATATATATATATATATATATGAAGAGTTCAGATGCAAAAGCCTCTAAATGCCATTTGAAATTTTCTTCTTTAATGATGATTTTTATCAAACTTGTATATTTAAGTTCAGTAATTTCACTTTAATAATAATTAATAGGTAATTATCATTGCCATTTAAGTGAAATCACTGAACTTAAATATACAAACTTGATAAAAATAATCATTCAAGAAGAAAATTTCAAATGGCACTTAGAGGCTTTTGCATCTGAACTCTTCATATATATATATATATATATATATATATATATATATATATATATGTGGCATAGGGTCATCCAATGATTTAGTATTTGGCATAGGGTCATTTACAAAATGTACATTATGGAGTGTTTCCATGAACACGGTAAAAAAAAAGCTCTGAAATGAAATGGCCCTAAATTAATTCTAGTTGATAAAATACTGTTGTGAATTTCAGACACTGATGAGTTCATCAACAGTAGTCTTAACATTGAGGGATGGATGTACCTCTGCCCCGTCCCGTAGAGAAGCAGCGGAAGATGACCATCCTCATATCAAGTCCCTCCTGGATCCAGATCTTGTTCATGATCCGAATGATCTGCAGGGTCAGCATGTCTTGCCGCAGGTCATCTCCAGCCTGAGTGAGAACACAACCATAAAAAACCAAGACAACACCTGAAAAAGTGTTGCAATGCAGAACCGCTGATCCGTAACACACAGACACCTGAAGGTGCTACCTTAAAGATGACGTTAATGTGGTCTCCCAGAGGATCCTGGTTCTGGAACGAGAGCTTGAGGGGCACTGCATTAGAGTTGAAGTAGGAGCAAGACTACATGAAGAGAATGAAAGACATGCTTTGTTTCTTACATCCCGAAAAGAACAATACAATGACTTAAAAATGCTTGATATAAAGACATATTCTGTAATTACCTGTATGTTGATGCCCTTGACGAGCAGGCCTGGGTTCAGAGGAAGTCGACAACTGTTGTTCAAACAGAAGAACTGTTTCACCTCATCTAGCCCCTCACGTAGAATAGTCTAAAAACCAGACAAACCGCGATTAGTGTGCTGACCGGACGGTTTGGAGAACGTTAAAATGCCCCTTAGGGATCAACAATCAGTCTTTGGCACAGACTTGTTCTTTAAAGCTAAAAATAGTATAGTGAAGAACTAAAATGAGAAATTTAGAAGACGTCTCTTTTCAGCAAATTATTTTTGTAGGTCATAATTGTTCTCATTAGAAAAAGGCACTGATTGGTCTTTGTGAAATGGATGTAAATACCAGGAGTAAATGAATAACAGTGAAGCTGACCTGTCTGGATGAAGGCGAGGCGTCTCTGACCCGCTGGGCTAGTTTAGCCAGAATGTTGACCAGCCAGCCTTGCCGATCAAACTCTTCCCTTAAACCTCGACCGGAGCAGCAGAGAAGAGCCGCCAGCAGATACTGATACCTCACGCTAAACTGAGAGTCCTGAAGAGTATCTTTCAGCAACCTAAAAAGAGAGAAACAAAAGAAGAGTAGTGTATTTTAATTGATGCTCCAAACACCCTTAGAGCAATTCATTTCCTTTATTTTTGAAGGCATTTTATATAGATTGCACTAACAAAAAGCAATTTCTGTCTAATGAAATGTTTAGATTTGAGCACAAATATGATTTTCTTCAGCATAAAGAAATTATAATTGACTATTAGGAAGCTTTAGAAAGCTTTACATTGTAACATTTTTTAGAGCACCTAAGCACAATTCTCTTTACAGTAATGCATTTGGTATTGTCCTAATTTTTAAATGATGATTCTTTGTTACTTTAATACTGTAATTGTTTTATTAGTAAAACTAGTTAAAAATTTTTACTAAAAATATGAATCAGAATAACTTTATATATCATTTTGTAGCATGTTTCTGCTGCCTTTTACCTTTTTACCCCCTTATTAGTAAAATAAGTAGAACAAAATTATATAATATTTATTTACTTATATATACATATTCCTTTTTTTCTTAGTTTAATTGTTCTGAAAAGTCACATTGCAAAAGCCTTTATTTTTATTAAAAGGAAAAATGACTATTTATTTAATTTAAATGTTAGGAGTAAAATGTAACCGCATTCATTAAGGCTTTGACTGCTCCAAGAAAGAAAATGATTGCATTTGTACAGCAGGTGGAGCTGTTAGCTAATTTTATACACGCACTCATGGAATCCGTGTGACAGTGATAATCTACATGTGCATGACTTTAGAGTATACAAAGCATCAAGCAATCAAGGTGCTGATAGGTCAAAGATTCAAATCTCATCGCAGAAGTGCAACAGATTAAAGGGTCAGTTCACCCAAAAATTAAATTTATATCATTACTCACCCTCATGTCAGTAAGCTCCCAGGATTCATCAAAAATATCTTCATTTCGGTTCCAAAGATGAACGAAGATCTTATGCGTTTGGAACAACATGAGGCCGAGTAATTGACACATTTCATTTTTGGGTGAACTAACCTTTTAATACTGACAAACCTGAATATGACACTATGAGACAGCCAGCATGACCCGATTTCTCAGTCTATGTGCTCTATAATACATGCGCACCGAGTTTCTAAGTATAATCTGAGAGTAGAGGACACACCAGAAAAGGTAGTGAGCTATGCGCACATCCCCGATGGCCCTCCTCAGCAGAAAACGCACAAGGTGACTGTCCAGATAACACTCGTACTTCAGCGCCTGCACAAAGAGAGAGTAAGAGAGCAATTTGTTGGACAGGGAAGGCAGAAATCAGAGGGTGAGAGAACAAAAGGACGGAAGGTAAAAAGAAAAACAGGTAGGATATAAACAGATCAAGGTCAATGGGAAAGGAGGGAATACAGCATGAAAGGAGGAAGTTGGAAACAAGGCCTTTGTTACCTGCACTAACTGAGGAAGGAAGTCCAAAAGCTCAGGATCAGAGATGGAGTCCATCCACTGTACAGCCGTCCGCCTGCACTCCTGATCTGGAAACCTAGTTTAAAGGGGATGTTAAACCAAAAATGAAAATGGTGCAATAAACTGCACAGTAAAGCACAAATTACATATTAACATGAATAAAATAAACTGGATAATAACTATTAATGACTGCACCTCTATATATTATTATAACCACAGTCATTATCCAGGCCAAGCTGGTTTGGGTGGTTGGGCTACCAGACGATTGGTTTTAAAGTTAACCTGGTGAACCATTTAGGTCAACCAAGCTAGACAGTGTTTGGAAAGTTCACTTTCTCATGACCTAGTTCAAAGTTCAGTTCACACATTTTAAAATGAACTAGTTCAGTTCTTAGTTCTTACTTCAAAAAATGAAGTTTTTCCATATGTTGCGAGCTCTTTTTATTATTATTATTGCAACACCCCATATACAACCACAGACAACAATTATTTTATCGATGGGCATTTTGCACAGAAATTTAAGATTTTTTCCATCCTCGTCATAAAATCCGTTTAAATGATCAATCGACACAGCCTCACTGCTTTGTTGACGGCGGCCGCGGCACGACACTGCTGGCTGGTGTTTCTAGTTCTAGCGATTTTCACTACATATTAAGGCCTGTTTACGTGTGTTCTAGCCGGGTTTCCGCCTGGAAGGCTCTATAGAAATCAGGCATCCTACTGTACGAATTTAAACTGAGACACAGACACCAGAATGAACGCATTCACAGTAACGTTCATTATGCAGTAATACAGTACGTTCAGTTCACGTTCGCCCAAAATATGAACGCGTTCATTGAATGCGTTCAGGCACAACACTGTAGTTAGAGACGGTAGATCAAACCTGGAGGCTCTTGGTTGAGCCAATTTGATTCAACACTAATAAAGCTTTTAAATCATGTCAGTAAATGTCGAAAGATATCTGCGCTCCACATGTGCTCTGCTGGACAAATCACAAAGGTCAATTCTTCATGGTCTACTCAAATCAGCCCGACTGCCAGCCGTTCAAGGACAGTCAAGCTCTGCTTAGCCTCCAGCTAAACAACAGAACAGAGCAAGCAGTTGCCATGGTTACCATAACACTCACGTGGCATTCAGCAGGCCTAGGGCGTCCAGGTGGTTCATGCATTCCCACTGGCGGAGCAGGGCATAGATGTCAGGCAGGCATGCCCACTCCCAGCTGGGTGCGCTGGCCAGGACCAGAGGCAGACGACTGGCTTCCGCATGGCAGAAATAACGCTTCTCCCACAACAGGCGCCGGTCCTCCGGAGACAACCTAGATAAAAGAACCAAGCAAGATATTTAGCATGAAAACATCATTAAAATGTATTTGTCAATTCCATGTCACCACGAACAGTAGACAAACTTGTTATGTATGTTACATAACATGCATCATCCAATCCATCCATCCAAGAGCTTGAGTATACTGCACAAATTAAAGTCTTCAACCATAGCACTATAATGTTGTTTCCAGACAAGCAGCCATAGTTTACACCTCACTTCTACAGCTAATCTCAAAAGGTTTGTAAACTGTCATACATGTCCAAAAACACGATAACCCAATCTGATGAAGATTAACAGTGAGCAAATAAATGCATCTTTAGTGACTGAGCATAAAAGAGGGATTTTTTTTTTTGCCCCTTTCATGAAAATCAGAAGCACCTCAAAAAGGTTTGCAACCCACCATCTGCTATCAGTCAAATCAAAACATGATTCGCCAATCTGATAAAGTTCAAATATGTGCAAACTTCCTATGTAGATAAAATTAAGATGCTGCTAATACAGCAATTAAGAGAGTAAAGCATGTCCAGGAAAAGGTCTCTGCGTGGGCTCTCACTGCAGTAAAAGATAGAAAATAAGCACACCGAATCTCTTGGTAATTTATGATGCATGATTACTTCTACACTGATGTACCAAACCCAGTAAGTCTGGAGGTAAACACTCCAAAAGGCTCAAGTTAAAATGTAAACAGAACTATTTTCATGACTAATATTTAAATACATAGCTAGCTATAGCCTGTACAAATAATCTGCACACAATCCATGCTTTAAAACACTTTAATAATGATCTGTCAAGGTCCTTCATGCTGCTTAGCTCATCTCTTGTTGGTTGTAACATACCCATTTAATCGCCAATGTTTAGCTACCATGTTTTTCTGCTGGCTTATGAATTCATATTGGGGAGTGGCTTCTCCCTCTAGGGATGACAGCCGTAGGGCAGGAACCCCGGGTCATATTACCTCTGCGCCTGCTGGGCCAGTCATCAGACAGCTCAATATACTGGGGGGGAAGGGTTGTGAATGCTTCATACAGTCACACCCACGCTCTTCAACAGGCAAGCATGACTGTCATTAGAAGACTACATAACCCACAATCCACAAGAGGCTTGAGGAGTATTGATTCCTGGCTGCAGCTGCCCAAAGCAACCCTGAGGGCCTTCTGCAAATCAATCGGTAAAGAAAAGGACAACCAAATGGCTGTGAACTAATCCTAAATTTAATAAACTGTGTTCCTCTGCTGGGACAAAAACATTGCGCATCCAGATCTGCACAGTTTCTGAAGAAACTGTGGGTTGTGCTTGCCTGTTATAAGACATTCCACTATGAGGTTGTTTTGTTGTGAGTGGTTGTCAGGGGTGTTCTGAATGTTCGAATCTAGCACGTTACTATGCAGTTGCAAGGGTGGTTGTTTATAGAGAGCTGGCTGCTTACAAGATTCTATAATAATATGCTCCCAAGTCAGTCCTGCAAAGTCCACTACCGTTCAAAAGTGTTGGTTAATTAATGCTTTAGAAAAACAATTTTAAAACAGCAAGGATGCATTCAATTGAAAAAGAGTGAGAAAAAAATTTTGTAACAATTGAAGTCTTTACAATTTCAAATAAGTGCTCCTTTTTAAAATTTCGATCCATCAAAGAATCCTGAAATATCAGTTTCCACAAAAATGTTAAGCAGCACAACTGTTTTCAACATTGATACCAACACTGTTTCTTGAGCAGAAAATCAGTAATCCTTCAGGAATCCTTAATCAGAACACAGTTAAGTTGAACTCAGGAATAAATTACATTTTAAAATAGAAAACATTTTTCATTGTAATACTTCAAAATATGATGTCTTTTACTGTATTTTTGATCAAATAAATGCAGCCTTGGTGAGCTTAAGAGATTTAAAGAGTTTTTCAAAAAGTTGAAACATTAACTCTGCTAACACATGCCAGATCAGAGTTTACACCGGGCTCAAACACACCTTTGAACCGAGAGCTGGAGACAATTTATGACTAAATATTTCCAGGCTGGTGTGGCTCCATGTTTTAAACTGTTAAGAAGAGTCAGTCTCTGCAGCAAATGTTTCAGAGCTCCACAGAGGAAAAACAGCTGAGAGAGAGGAGAAGAGGAACAGGGCCAGCTGGGGAGGAGATCTACATCAGCGGTCTAAAGCTGACGGTAACAAAGTGAACACTGCCGAGCACTAAGCCCTCTACAGTAAAAAATAGATATTATAATAGAATATTTAATTCTCCAGTCTTAACAGTGTGAGCTTGTTCTATATTCTGCACTCCTCAACCTCCCCAGGCAACTGTTCACACATCCAGCCCTTTGAACTCCACATGAACGAATGGATGAGATGAGGGGGGAAAAAATCAGACAGGGACACAGAGGACAAAAGGAACAATGTTGTGCTTTTATCCCTCCCAGAAACAAGGAACGATGTGACAGACTGCTAACAGCAGTCTTCATCCTGTCTTCATCCTTTCTCTCATGTCTGATCAGCTCCTCAACATCCCTCTGAGCTTGTGTAACCTCGGTTCCAATGCAGACATGCCACATGAAATCCCTTTTCCTCTTTCAAATGAGCATGTCACTAAAATATAAATGAGTAATGACAGGTGAATCTGAATTTGCTTAAGCTGGTTATTTGATGTTCCAACTACACTTAAACCATCCTTGTCCTGTACCATTATGTATATACATCAATCTACTGCATTCTCTTTTGTGGTTACCTTCTAAAGCAGTTTAAATGTGTAAATGCGTTGCAGTCACATTACAAGACTGAGCTAGAATATTTAAGTCACAGGCTCACAAAATCAGCAAAAACCATAAAGCTTTCTTACGTCCTCTTCCACCCAAAAAGTTGCTGTTTCAGGGAATGCCAAATCAGAGCCAGCCCAATGCGAATAAACGCCTCAATTCAATCTGTTCGTCATATAAAGCAGAAAATATGGACTAAACTACTTAATATGGATTTGTTTTACAGTCTTTTTATGAATTTTTGAAGCGTTAAAGTGGTATCTACATAGACTGTCAATTAAGGACAGAAATCTCTCAGATTTCATTAAAAATATCTCCATTTGTGTTGTGTTCCGAAGATGAACGAAAGTCTTATGGGTTTGGAACGACATCAGGGTGAGTAAATGACAATTTTTGGGTGAACTGCCCCTTTAATTGAATAAATATCAAGTAGCAGGAATAAATAACCTGATGTGTTGATCTGAGAACATTAGCGGTTTCCTTATGGATTGCGAGAGTGGTTTACGCTGGAGCAGAGTGTAGTTTCCAGCCCAGGATTTATGGAGCGGTTACAGATTGGCTCTGATACCAGCACCATGTTGGTAGAAAAGGGGCAATATTGTCATAATCCAATAAGAAATACAGAGTGCTAGTTAAGGTGAGTATTACAAAGTATATAGAGCCTTTGGGTGCTGAAAGAAATGAGGAAACAAAAATAATTTTCCCTTCTAAGGAAAAATCTGGAACAATGCTGTAAAACAAATAATTAGATCAGGATGCATCACTTGCTTTAGGATTTTCAGAGAGCCATCTCACCAGAAAAGGGACTTCTTGTGCAAGACATCCTGTAGCTGCCTCTGGCTGACCTGGTCCAGGCGCGAGAACTCGTACTGGGGGCTGAACTCTGCAGGAGCGGGGGTGCTGAAGCGTACTTCGAAAGAAGAAGTGGGAAAGTCCACCTGAATAGACAAGGAGAGTTTTGTTGAAAATGAGCCACTGTTTAACAATGGAGGGTGTAAAAGCACCCAGGAGAACGGTCAAAAGTAAGAGTTATTAGCCTGACATGATGTAATGGCAAAACTACCTCTTCATTTGACTCTTTACAGTGTTCCTCAGACAAATCGCTTAGATATTAAGAGTTCAAAAGTTTAAAAATAAATATTTCTCAGCACTTTGGTTAAAAAAAAGGCAATATTCAGCATCTTCATATTTAAGAGAAACCATTAAACATGGCCAATAAGATTCAAAATAAGATTCAAGATTCAAATGAATTGGATTAACATATTTTTGCTTCTGGATCTATAGAAACAACTTCAAATTTGCAAGACAAAAGGTTTAAATGGTCTATTCTAATGAAAATTTTAGAAAGGCCCATTGAGATTATCCCGATAGTCACAAATCTTTCATAGTTATCAGAAAATTAATGCAAGTATTTCATGAATATTTGATATTTAACAGCCCTAACAGATAGAAACCCATTCTAAATGTTCATTGAAGGGTTGGGGATAATGAAAACAAACCGCAAAACACAGGTAAAATTCTCTACAGCTCATGGTTAAAGATGGGACAAGAGTGAAAGGTTTATGATCCAAAGCAAACGCTAAAGTTCACAGTCACGGCTGGCATTAGTTAACAAGAGTGCTGAAAGCAATGATAACCGCACCATGAACAGCTGAGGCCTTCACCTTAAACATGCCAAGTTAAATACCACTAACACTAAATGTTAACAATAGAGCCAACATACACTGGGTACATGTGGTTGTAGTTTCATTATTCCTTAAGCTCAGTGACCAAACTCGATTCGAAATTGAGAAAACCATAATACATTTTTTTTTTTTTTTTTTTTTTTAAAGCTGTGGGTCTGTTTTCACACTTCTGTCACTCCGGGTTGAAATCAGCCCAATAAGTCCAAGTACATACCAGCTTTAAAATATCAGGCCTTCGATTATTGTCTTGGACAAAAGTGATCTTGACTTGGAGTCAAAAACCAATACATTTTAAAAAAGCAAAACAAAATCTGCCGATTATTATCTAAACAAACGATTTATCAGCAATTTCCCATTGATATTAACACAAGTGGTCTGTCTCTTCCCCCTTAGACTGTGTAATGGCTCACCTGTGCCGCTTTTCCACTGCATGGTACGGTTCGCTTTATATGGTACCACCTCTTTTGAGGTTCCAAGCGTACCATACCGATACTAAAATGTGATGTGAACACACTGCAGATCACCGATTGGTCAGAATCAGACAGAATCGTCACAACCAGCGTAATTGTATTTGCAAGACAATCCCGCTAGATTTAAATAGCCAGTAACAGCCGCTGTAGCACCCGTTTTAAAACTACTTGCTTGACTAGCTTGAAGAAAACTTCCAAAAAAAGAAATGGCTGAATTATGGTCAGTGGACGAAGTGTAGACGTTCCTCTCGTTGGTTGCCGAGGAGCGGATAAACTTTAACGGTCAGACTATAAATCCCACCCACTTTGAAGCGGTACTAACTGCAGTGGAAAAGCAAACCGAGCTAATGTGAATCGAGCCGTACCACGCAGTGGAAAAGCGAAGCGAGCCGAACAGTGCCGAGCCGAAACTGTACCAGCAGTGGAAAAGGCGTCAATATGTGTATTGGATTTTCTGCCCATTCATTATTTCATTATTAATTCATTATTGCAATCTACTGACAGTCTTGTCTAATAAAGTAGGAAGAAGTTCGGCATGAATATATTAAACCACTAAGAATTTCAAAGAACAGTGTGAATTGAATAGAAAGAATGTGAAAAATGGGGTCAGAGAAGAGAAGCATCAGCGGATAGGAAAGGAGAGAAGCTAAGGGGAGCAGGTTTTAACGAGCCCCAGATGTGTCATCAGCCCCAGATGCATCTTGGCTGTGGGGCGGTTTAACAGGGCAGAATGTAGGGAAACCTGCCACCTCATTTGCACTAAATAACCCCGGCACCTTAATGAGGGGCAGAACCTACTGAATAGGCCCAGGACCAGGCTGCGCTCCCAGTTTAAACTGCACAGCCCACTGCCCTTAGACAAAGCCATGGCATTCGGGCACAAAAGAGCCCTATTGGCACTGCTATGGGCTGGCTTGGCACCCTGAGATTGCAGAAAGAAGAACAGGGATTGTATAGTTGGAGGCCTGTGCGGAGGGTGGGAATTTCACAGAGGCCCAGACCGAGTGAAGAGAAAAACTATGCGCACATGTGATTCACCACACAGATTCAGAACAATACCAGCGGGGAGTGCTGTTTACAGAGAGCGGTGGTGAAATGTCACGTCTGAATGTGTTAGAGGATATTAATGCATGTGGAGGAAGTGGTGACTCAAAGGGCCGGGGGTTGTCTGGGATTGACACGTCTCAGTTGATTGTGATGATTGTATGCGTGTGCTTAATAAATTGTTTCCTGTACAGCTGCTTAAGCTACATTGCCATGTTGTATTGTCTACTCATCATTCAAAACCAAAAAAAATATATATATATATATATATATATATTTTTTTTTTGTGGAAGGAAATACATTTTTATTCAGCAAATATGCATTCATATTTTGTAACAATTTAATTGCCTTTACCATTTCAAATAAAACAATATTAGGCAACCCACTGGTTTTCAATATTGATTAAAAAAAAGGTTTCTTGAGAACCAAATCACCATAATTGTGATTTCTAAGGAGTGTGAAACTGAAGACAGAAGTAATGATGCTTAAAATAAGTTGCATTCTAAAAGATATTAAAGTCCCCGTGAACCGTAAGTTGCAAACGACTTTTCTCCAGTGTTGCGACGTATTTCCGAGAGAAACGGAATACTAAATGAGGCAAAATAGTGGGCGTAGCTTTTTTTTTCAACTAGCACCTGATTGGATCTAGAAAAATGGGTCTTTCATTCTGAAATGGAGGATAAAGCAAGTTTACACACGCTGTCAATCAATGCTCGCTCGGCGCTCGCAAACACACAGGAGCTGTCAGTTGGAGGGGTGTGGTTATGGATGTTAAGGAGACACCCAAACCGTAAAGCCTATGTCATCGGGCAAGGTCCGCCAATGCAGAGGGGAGGGGCATTTTCAAAATTTGATTAAAGATTACGAAGCCAAAAAAAATGTTTGTGTGGATTGACTTGCATGTATGAATTGTTCCCCACAAAACGATCAATTTAGGCAAACAAAGTAAGTATGGTCAATTTTGATTTCATAGGGACTTTAAAATAGAAAATGATTACCGATACTTGTAATATTTCACTAATATAACCGTTTTTACTGTATTTATCAAATGTAAACTTTCAAAAACAAGAGAATAATGAGTACTGTGAATTTTGACATACTATTGTAACTACTACTCCTTTAATTCCTACATTTCCACAAGAAGACAGGCCCAACCCTATTACTGCCGAAGTTATGGATCCTCCAAACAAAGTCTAATTCTTGGGAAGGTTCACGTGTTTGCTTTAGGATATGTCAATAACTTAAGTAACTTCTGAAGATGGAAGTCAATAGCGTGAATGACATTAGTATGCATGATATTATCAATATTTAAGTTCTTTGCATGCGACTATTAAATGTGTATTTCAATGAGTCTTGATTCATTCTACTTCTGTATTTACTAAGCTTTAGATAGTTATCTACTTTCCAATGCACCAATTCTGCTCAGGGACCACAAAAAAAGCACTTGTTTGAGTGTGTGTGGGGTTTAAAGGCCATATTAGACTTGCAGAAATTGGCCTGCTCCAAACACCACACATGGTTTACTGTAGGAGGTGAGTATCAACAGAACTCAAGTGCTTAAAGAGCCTGTTTTCATGCCCTCCAATATTACATGCACTAAGAAAAAACAACAAGTAATATGTCAATGGTTATTAACTGTGATATTTTGAATCTAGATCCATGTTATTTTGCAACAACAAAAATCATAAAATGTCTAGTTGTGTTGTCAGAGCATTTTATTTAGCCTGGGGCTATTTAGATGCATATAAAACATCTGTATCCCTCTCTCTGCAGAGCTACCTGACCTACTTTTAGGACATTTTGCAAAGAGCGGGACAGTTCCTCTCTACACTTCCACTAGCACACTAGCCTGACCCTATTACTGCCAAAGTTATGAGCCAAGCACAGAACTGACCTTTTTTATACTAATTTACATATAATCTAAGCATACTTTCAAAAACGTACAGTCAATTATAAACATCTTAAACCTTAAAGTTTTCCAATGTGTCCTCAATAGTTAGCTTTTGTGAGTGTGCATGCATAAATGACCTCTGAAAAAAGATGAAAATTAGATGGCGGGTTTGTTTTAAATAAGAAGCCTTAAGGTCTGAATAAGGCCTATTTGGCACATTGCAACCTCCTGGATAAAGGACAGATCAATGTCGAAAAATAGGGGGAAAAAAACTATTGTATGGAAAGGGAGAGGGTTGGGAGTTTACAGAGAACGTGGGTGAGAGAGTCATCTGTAATGAAGCAGGACAAGCAGGAAACTATTTACTGTGATTACATATTGAATTGAGAATAAGGCCAAACCTGAAGGATGACACTGTCTGGCTGGCTGAAGTTGGGCGTACTGGAACGAGCATTTCCACTGCCGGCGGTTGAAGGCCAGAGACCCAGCAGCTTCCTCCCACACGTCAGAACACTGAGGAAGAGGAAAAATAGGGTGCAGGGTCAGAAAACACTTAACATCCGCTTATGGATGCACAAAACAAGCAACAACAGGATATGGACAAAGATGGAGTACTTACATACTTGACCTACTAAGTACATTCTTGTGTTTATATCTAACAGGCAATGATAAATATTTTTCCTAGAAATGTTCTATGGACCCTGCAAACAAATCCTTAAGCAAACATGTGAACCTTCCTAAAAAAAAAAAAAAGTTAGGAAACGTCAATAACCTTGTTAACAAAAAACAACAACAAAAAAATAGCCGGGCTTACATGTTCAAAGCTCAAAAGCTTCAAAAGTCAAAAGCACGAAAATGTTCAAGCATGACATGTAGATTTTAAGTTATTAAGTTGGACTTGCATGTGACCGTGTAAATGAGTCTTCATTTACACGTGCATTCCAGTTTACACGTGTACACACTTCATTTACACATGTATTAAGATAAATTAATCAATGGCAGTCACAACCATGTTTTTGAATGGCAATACATTTTCGTAAAAACAAAGTTTGCTCTTAAAACTAACAACAAGAACGAATGCAACCTTTTATTTTTAAACACCTACACCTGAAATTATAATAGTACATGCACACCTACATATGTGTACCTAAATATATTTACTAGGCTGGAGAAACTAACTGTCTACTGAAATAACAGAACAAATACTAAACTCTACTTGCATGAGACCGTGTAAATGAGGCGTGTTCAAGCAGTCTTCAAATTAATTCTTCAAATTAATACTTCTGTTAAGGGTATGAATTGTCGATTTTTGATAGTGAACTAATTGCAGATCGTGGATTTTAATCGTTAACATTTTAATAAAGAAATATCATAATATCGTGCAACAGTGCATTCTATCAGTTGCAGTTCTGCCGCTGCCAGTTAAACCTTTTATTCGCACGCTTGTTCTAACATTTTTTTTCTTAGCACATACACCCGAAGAGCGCACACGAAAAGCTTGTCAAACAGTGCAGGTGTACTAAACCGATTTATCTTTCGCGTCTTATTGCACTTAAAGGAGTAGTTCACTTTTGAAAAAACTTTTGCTGATAATTTACTCACCCCCGTGTCATCCAAGATATCCATGTCATTCTTTCTTCAGTCGAAAAGAAATGAAGGTTTTTGATGAAAACATTCCAGCATTTTTCTCCATTTTGGACGAAAATGAACGAATCTTTTTCGTTCAAAAAAGATTTGTTCATTTTGATGAACGAGTTCGAACAGGAGAGTCACGAACGTGCGTCACAGAACAGAGAAAGGTGAGCATTTGAGCTTATAAAACGTAAACTTTATTTTTTTTTTTTAAATGAGCGATCGTTTCGCTTGATAAGACCCTTATTCATCGTCAGAAATCGTTTAAAGCCCTTTGAACAGTTTGCACGGAAACTGTCTTTTGGACCTTGAACCATTTGGTTCCCAGTAAAGTGCATTCTTTGGAGAAAAATCCTGGAATGTTTTCATCAAAAACCTTAATTTCTTTTCGACTGAAGAAAGACATGGACATCTTGGATGACATGGGGTGAGTAAATTATCAGCAAAAGTTTTGAGAAAAGTGAACCACTCCTTTAAACAGTCAAATACAAACAGTTTACATAAACACAGTCGGTTAGGTCTTAAATGAACGAAAACACTTCGTTGGGAGAAAACCGGATGCATGTCTGTTTATTAGATCAGTGCATGAAGTCTTAAAGTGACAACTGCCTAATAAACCTGCTGCCGTTTGTAATCAATGTAAACAAAAGACGAAGAAAATAACTTGAATAAGAATGTGTGTGAGAGTATACACATCCCTAACTGCATAGTGTCATCTATTTCTAAATACACCATTTCTCAAGAACTGGAATACACGAAGCACTTGTTTAAGTGTGTGTGGTGTTTGTAGGCCGCGTTAGACTTGCAGACTCGGTCTGTTCTGAACACCACAGCTGGATTGATGTAGGAGGTGAGTATCAACAGAACTCTAGTGCTTAAAGAGTCCGTTTTCATGCCCTCCAGTCTAACATGCAATCATTATAATTGACAAAAAGCACACAAAAATTTTTTAGTCATCCAGCAATAAAAAATAAACAGACAGATTCATGCTTACTGCCTAAAGTTGAACAGAGGCATGGTGACCCAGCCCAGAGCTTCAATGCTGCGTTTCTGCTTGCTCTTCTCCTCCGCACTTCCAGGGGGCGGTAGAGGCGTGGCATATAGCATCACAGTCAGCTGTGACTCCCTTGGCAACTGGTTGATCTGGACGGGGAAGCAAACTCTATATATTGAAAAAGATAAATTAATAAATGCCAGTCACAACCATGTTTTTAAATGGTAATACATTTTCGTAAAAAACAATTAGAAATGTAAGTTTGCTCTTAAAACTAACAACAAGAACAAATGCAACCTTTTATTTTTAAACACCTACACCTGGAATTATAATAGTACATGCACACCTACATATGTGTACCTAAATATATTTACTAGGCCGGAGAAAATAACTGTCTACTGAAATAACAGAACAATAACACAACTCTACAATGAAGAGGGCAGAGTACAAAAACAGCCACAGGAAGTGGAGATGGACGAGCTATTTTCAAATTTTACATCTGAAGTATTAAGTAAACAAACTAAGATCTAACGTGTTCAAACATTAGGCTATTTGCTTTTTTTTAACCTCAAAGCGATTATATTCATGGGACTGTGTAGCATGTGTGGATTGGCGTCAGGCTCACCTTTGGTCCCACACTACCAGGTGGAAGAGATATTTGCTGACAGACTGTTTACTGGTGTGCTGGGGGGCACATAGTTCCACCCCACCGTGGGTGAGAGAACAGGACAGGAAGAAATTTTCATAGCTGTGGATGTTTGTGAAAGAAAGAGAGGGTGAGATCAGCAAATGGCAACAAAAATCTAAAAGCCAAAAAAAGTGGGACATTAAATCACCCTTTCCAGAGAGCTGTTAACTTAACCACTGTGAGTGTGAACAAATTCAGATGAACTCGGAAACCAGTGTGTATGATTCATTCAGCCTAGTTTTATGAACTAGTTCAATAGATTCCTCATTATTTTAAAGGAGAACTATGTACTGACAGCATTCCAAATGTACAAAAAATGAGCTCAATGTTGAAATTGACCAGAAAAAAATGACAAAAATCGGTGTTGCCTACACAGTGATATCGTCTTTTTAAGATCTGCACCCTGTTGACTTCAATGGGGCAAGTTCTAAACCTACTTAGACTCTTAACATCCTTGATTTGTCATTACGAGTGCACAGCCATGCGAGTTGTGTTATTAAGAGTGACCACGGTCAATCTGACTGCAAAAAAACCAAAACAAAAAAACTCAATGTTAAAATTAACCGGAGTTCTCCTTCAAGTCCAATCTTTTTAAAATAGTAGCAATTTCTGATTTGTGAATTTCAGCATTCAGACTAAAATTTAATTCTGTTGTGATATACCTTAGAATTCATGAGAACTATACTTATGACACACTGATGGTCATTTTTTGAAACTTCAACTTCAGTCCCCTTTCATTGCAATTGCATGGAAAGTTAATTTTTAATAATAAAAACAACAATTACCATTAGCGTTTACAGAGGAAAGTCATTTGGATAGTGAATTATGACAGTTTTTATGGTCAGGTGAACATATCCTTTCAATTTCAAATGAATCATCTAAAAGCATTGACTTTAATCAAATATACAGTGTATAATACAGGTGAGTATGTTGCCATTACTGTGATTTCTTTGACCATGAGAAATCCACAAAGTGGCACGAGTTTTACTTCACCCAAGTAGTTAAGATATTAATGCCATGTCTCATGACAAGAGATTGTAGAGTCGGTTTGAGTTTCTTTCTTCAGCTGAACACAAAAAGGTGATATTTTGAAAACATGATTACCCAAAAAGTTAATGGACCCAATTGCCTTTGATAGCATAATTTTTTATATATATATATACTATGGAAGTCAATGGTGCCGACAACTGTTTGGTTTATGACATTCTTCAATTCAAACTATCTTGCGTTCAGCAAAAGAAAGACGAAAATGAAAAATTCTCTTAAAAAAGCAGAGAAGTCCAACATGATGTGGCTAAGAGAACACACAAAGTTGGATCTATGCATTTCTTCTAAACACTGGATGAAGTGTCATTGATGCTTTAGTAAACAAGCCTTTACCAACAGACTGCTTTTATATTTGGGTTCTCAAGCGCAGTTAATGGTTGTGGAAACCTTGCCACCTTTTTCCAACTCCTCTCTCCTAATCCCAACATTGTACAATGTTCTCCCATATCATTCAACTCCAAAATGGGAAAGGAACTCTCCCGAGACAGATTTAAATAGAAGAAAAAACATTCCCAAGCTAAATGGAATACCAGAGAGGGCAGAAAAACACATGAGTGAAACATTAATACTACCAATCCTAATACCGATTAGAAGATCCAGTAAAACATTCCAGACCATCTTCATGATAAAGTTTGGAATGAACATTTAACACTGATCTGAGATCAGAGAGCCTTGAATACAAAAAAACGGAAGTGGATTATAAATCAGCCCTGAAGGAACCATCCGACTGACTCTAATTGCCAAAAGCAGATGGGATGCAGGGGAATGTCAACCCTCCATCACCACTGCACAGGTGCCTGGTGCCCAGCCTGCCCTCCGCCTGGCCTCAAAAGGTCAACGTTTTTGCAGAGTTCCCATACATGCTCCTTTGTGATGGCTCGTTCCAGTCAGCAGGGAGACAAAGAGCACTAGTCCAGGTCAATGGGTGGGAGAGACCATTCCTGTGCTGCGAGGGGGAGGGGAAAGGGCTGTATTACTTTATCACTGAGCGACTGGCCGAGATGTAGTGACATTTAGGGTTGGCCAGCATCTGTCTCCATACTGTGGGAGCGATTGTCACGGTTCTAGGTTAGGACAGAGGGTAGAGTAGACCGAGAACTTTTAGAATTTATTTTCTCACTGCACCATAACGCCAAATAATCCTGCTGGATTACCAAAAGGGATCAGCAACGTGGACAGCTGGTGTCCAGCTGCGTCTCTGAACGCTGGAAATTAGACAAAGTTGACCATTGTGAAAGTAGAGGCATCAAAAAATGCAACATTCAGGGTTTTTTTTGTCACAAATGAGACCATGAATGTGATCAACAGATGGTGGTCATGCAATCTGGAAAGCTATTTGCTGAGGGAAAAAAAGCACTTCCTGTAGAAATAAAAACGTGCCATTGAAAATAATAATAGTGAAACATAACCAAGGCAATGTAAAATGATACCATGGAAAGTCTCTTGCAAGCGCCAACAGATTAGCAATCCGGAATGACAGGTTTTAATAACAAACAAGAACTTTCACAAGTGCAAATCTGAACTCGTTCAAACTGACAATACAACCTACGTTCATATTCAACAACTACCCATTTTATAAAAGTGTTGCAGGGTCAGATATAATCTTTTCGCATTCTAATTTTTAGCAAAACCCACATTGTCACTTGTGCACGTTACATAATGTAAACACAGAGGTGTTACAGTGTACGCTAGCGTTTAAAAGTTTGGGGTGAATAATAATTTGATCAAAAAGAAAAGAAAAACAGGTATTTAAAAATTTTAATTAAATATGTTTTAAAATGTCAATTATTCCTGTGATGGCAAACTGAATTTGGCGCTCAAACTTTTTTTTATTTTCCATGTTAAAAACAGTTGTGATGCTTAATATTTTTGTATTATTTTGTACCAGTGCATAATGCATGCTAGGTTCACAGGCTGATATATCCAAACCAAGCAAAGAAAGCACTACCTGGCAGCCCATGTGATGGGAATTCGATGAGCCGCATAAACACTGAAGGAAAGGACGTTGGTGACCATGCCAGCTTCCTGTATGGGGGCTGTGGATCTGCTGCTGTGTGGCATAGTGTGGAAATTAGCATTGAAAGTGCTACAGTACAGCTCCACAAGTTCCAAGATAGCTGCAGTCAACTTCTCCACAATTGCCACTGTAAAGGAAAAAAGGTTCTGCCGTTTATAAACAGAATACGATGCTAAGAATTATTCATAATTATTACACCACTCTGAAACATTTTCATTTTTTGTCTTAGAATGTAGGAGCAGGAATGCACACCAAATGATAAAAGTCACGCACAAGGGTGCATCCTTCCCGTTTATCCCTATCTGGGAACACAGACATCATTGTAGCAGGATGCTACATACTGTAAACACTCTTCCAACAAACATGAAATTCTAGCATTCATCCTCAACAATGTAACCCTAAGAAGAGGCAAACACTACTTATCAAGTACCTACATCTTTGAATATAAAAAAAAAAAAAAAAAACTTTTTATAATATTTTTAGTTATGAATTATCGTTTTATCCTTGTTCCAGACCCAACTTACTATTTTAAACAATCAAATATGTGTATAGAATTTTTAAAGTAGCTAAATATATGCACAGTGAAAGTCACTAAATCTTAAAATAAAAAAATAATTCATATATTTTTGGGGACAAAAGTAAAATACAAAAAACCTTAAATGTATGAGTTTGACAGAAAGATGGAAGACCACAGAATGACCCAGAAGCACCGTACCTCTGTTTTCTTTCTTTACCAAGACACTGACATCCTATAAAAACAGAAAAAGACATACATAAGCATGCATACCAGATAGAGCCACACTATTTCTGTAGTGAAAATGAAACTTGTAAGACACATGCATGACATTTCTAGCCATTTTAAAAGTTAGTGGTTTAAGCAATTCAGAGAATGGTCTAGTCATTTGAGGAACTAGAAGCAGCAAAATCTGCAAGTTTGCAGCATGCATCTGTGCTCAGTCTGCTCACATGAAAGTAGTCAGCAAAAAAAAAAATGCATATTATGTGCTCAGATCTCTAAAATATTTCCCATGTAATGATTTGTGACTAACAGTTCAAAATGTACTACCTTCTGCACTTTAGGCTGCAGTCTGCAGGGGCAAGCTGGCAGCTGGTTTAGGGCAGCAGTGATGTCAGGCGTTTCAACAGCTGCTAGAGAAGTGCACAGGGCCTTCACCGACTGCACTAAACGCTCCACATGCAATGGTAACTCCACCTGCAAGTGGAAAGAAAAAAAAAACCTCTGAAACACGGATGGATGGAGGCATTTCAAAAACCATATTGAGCATATGTGTATGCGTTTAAATGGAAATTTTTTGACATTCAAATAATTTAGCACCATGAAATAAAAATGGACAATTTTATGGAATTATTTCAATATTTATTATGAATGATTTTATTTTATTTTTAAATTTTTTAAATCATATGCCCGCGTAACTTTAACCAAAATAACTTCCTCTTGCACCAACATCTCTTCTCTTGACTCTAGGGAGGAGGGCAGAACAACTCGTCACTCATGAGCGACAGCAAGAGAAACCACAACGATCCAATCGATTCCGATGGACAAAATCAATTCCAGTCCTGCATTTTATTCTCGTTTGAGAAGCAGTTTCACACAGATATACATCGCTATAGGGAAGAAAAGGCTAATTGACTTTTTTTGGTCCAATGGCAGATGAAGGGAATGGTTAAGAAACGGTTTGGAAACCACAAATATCTTTGTGGTTTCGATTGTCCATATACATCACACCTCTCCACTTTAAAATGAAACTTTTAAAAAGACAAAACCACATCCATTTTGAGTAAGAACATTTTTGTTTTGCTTTTTGTGCGAATATGGATGAATATGGTCCTTCCTCAACTTTTATTAAAAAGGAAAAAAAAAAAAAAAAACCTTCTGCTCATTAAACATTCACTACTATGCTTAAGAGGTATAACAAATTAGTCAGCTTGAGATACTCTCCATCTAAACTAAGACGTTACTGTAGCTTTACCCAATAATAGATGCAATACTTCCTCCAGCACTGCATTACAACCCTAATGAAATGACCCTTCACAATAGATAATGCTTTACTCTGAACACAAGGGAATTTATTGGTTCAAAAAGATGTTTGTAACAAGCTTACCTCCGATAAAAGGAAAGACTCAGCCTCGTTGTGAAAGGTATCCAGGAGAAGAGTCAATGCCTCCCTGTCAAACAAAAAACGAGTATGATCCAAACAGTGTGGAAGTTAAATCACTCATGCACACAAAAGCCTAAACCTCCTCTCATCACCATTACCTGGTCACAGTCTGTTTGATTGGCCTCTCTTGCAGTAGAATATTGTGGTTCATGGTGGATGGAGTGTCATCATCCTCAAGCTGTTAACCACCAACACATTGGTTAAATAATGCAAACATTTAAGAATCACACACAATGAATAAAGATTCATAAATGGTGTTGCTTAAACAAAAGATTCTTTAAAATATTAAAATACTCTTCACACCAAGGAAAGTTCTTCAATGTCATTGCTGTGAAAATTGATACATCTAGATGATGCACTTGCACTTAAAACAAAGGTAAGGACACATACCAGGCATATATGCATTGTACTCTAAACAACAGCTACATGAATGTAATCAGATTATGGGTGTAAATAATCGATCCGATGCAGCGATGCATCCGCAAGAGTATCAATTAATGTGTTTTTTTTGCCACCTGTCTATTTTCAGCATCAGCTCCGACATATGCGTACAACCTATTCCAAAGCTGCGGGTGGCGCTAACCTCATTGTCTTCTACTTCACACCGCTTCACACACATTACTTACATTTCACAGTCTATGTTCACAAACATTGTCGAATCCGATTATCAAGAGCGATGGAACAGTCAGAGCGAGCTGGCAATGAAAGTGAAGTGTTACACACTTCAGTCGGCGTCAAGTCATGGGTGTGGAAGTAGCGGCTTCAGGAAAACAGATGGAGCAGCGATAAGAGATGTTGCCGTTTGCAAAGACTGCTATAGGGTAACATACACGAGAGAACGGCCAGAGCCCGGTGGTCTGTGACACATACTCACCACAAATGATGTTTCTGTATTCTTAAAATGCTAATTATTTTTCTTGTTGTTGATTTATTTGAAACTTAAAAGATATCATGTAAAAATATCTAGTATTGGATAGTGTCGAATCGCGGGAAATTCTGAAGTATCAAATAATCGAATCGTTGGCTTAAGAAATCGGTATCGTATCGAATCGTCATTAAGGCTCCGATTTACACCCCTAAATCAGTAAGTAAGCTTAAGGAATTGCATGGACAAACACGCCTGGCGCAATGTGGACTGCTTTTTGAGGTGTTCAGTGTTCAACATTCAGTAGGGTTAATATTGATTGCATTGCACTCATTCAAACCTTTAACTCAAGGTTTTATACTTTCAAGAATTGAGCACACACACACACAAAAAAAAAAGTTTCCTAAAAGGTGTTTCCTGTGGTTTCAGCGGTTTAAACAAGACCGGTTGGGTCTAGTGTTGGGCCACTAATCTATCTGCTGTCAGATTTGGTCTTACCATTCGGGTGAGCTCCATGCTGACAGAACTCCGTTTGGTAAGGATGAGTCGAATGTCCCAGTCAAACTTCAGACATTGCTGGATGTACTCAAAGCTCGCCAGAGTCTCAGTGCTTAGCAGAAAGGAAAGAGGCAAAAGCAAACTTTAGATCTATTGGTCCATATTATGTCTTTATAAACATACAAGTTTAGGTCAGTAAGATTTTTTTTTTTTTTAACTTCCGCAAGGATGTATTAAATTGAGTATAGGTGAGAGTATGACATTAATGTAAATAAAAAAAAAAAAACCTTTCAAATAAATGCTGTTCTTTTAAACTTTTCTATCCAGAGAATCCTTAAAAAAAAAATAAAAAAAAATAAAAAAAACACAGTCTTCAGTGTCACATGATCCTGCAGAAATTAGTTATCGCTGCTGAAAATTCAGCTTTGCCAAAGGGAATAAAATCACATTTTACACGAGATTTTTCAAAAAAAACACCCCTTTTGCCTCATGATGCAGTGCGCAAACCATTTTATGGCCGTTTTGCACGTTTTCTTTTAAAATAACCTTGGTCTAACATTTCAGTATGAAAATCCTACAAACTGCTCTAAATGTCAATGAAACACAAACAATCATTAGGAAACTGAAAAACTAAGAAAGTGTGAGGACCCAGAAAAAGGCCTCCATGAGTGAAGTACGTTATTGTTCTAAAACTGATGCTTATGCGCATTATTTTACAAGTCTTACACACAAAGTGGCGCCTCCTCACGTCCCTGCACAAGCACATGGTTATCAGGAAAAGACACATTTCCTCTAACACAGCTGCACCCACAGCAAAAACAACCAACGCATTCAACCGAATCACACCTGCGGTTCTTGTCGAACAGACACACTTAGTCTCAGCTCTGTCAAGAAATACAACCAACTGAAACATCAAAAATGTCAAGTGGCCTTGACATTAAAAAAAAAAGAAAAACAGGAAGAGCACACGTACAAGTGGTTATGCCTGCCTCAAAAGGTGGTCGTGTCATGGGGAAACCAAATGTGGTTACAGCAGCACACAGACATAAGCACAGCTAGTTTTATGAAACCACAATTGAGGGCCACATTTATATTTTTCAGACCACAAACCGCAGAGATTGTTTTTTTTTTTTTTTTTTGGAATCACCCCATTCCCACCCACAACTCAAATGTAGTTACAACAAAATCTTGTAACATGTTCATTATGCTATTAGATGGGAATGTTTTAGCAACACACTGCAATCTCAAGAGCAGCAGGGGGACGGTTTTTGGCCGTAATGCTTTGAACATATGAGTGAGCGTTTGGATTTTCTCTCCAATGCGAGGTGACCATAAATCCCCTGGAAGACAAATGCAGATCTTCAAAAATACTCTTGTCAACAGTATTTGCAAGAAGCCTGGAATATGAATTATTGCCTGACATGAATATCATAAAAACTAGTGATGCACCATCATGATTTTTCATGGCAGATTCCAATAGTTACAAGCAAACTGACTGGTATTTTAAGCAAACTTATTTTTTTGGCAAACTTTATTTGCTCTATAAAACGCAAACTGGCCCTAAAAATATCTGTAGCCATTTAAAACTAGAGACAACCTAAATTATAATCAGAATCCAAACAAAGATGCTACACACATTTTGGATAGCAAAATTTCAAGATTTAAAGTCAAACAGAATGATCTGACTTTAGGATTTATGACATCATGCTATAAAGACACCCTCACAACAAACAAACAGCAGATGGACTGAAAGAAAATGAAAATTCACTCAGACAGTAGGTGGCGCTTATGGAACAGCAGCGGTTTCAAGATTTATATTTTTCTTCCTATATTTCGAGCATCGCAAACAATGAACTTGGTGTGCCTGGTACAGTATTTGCTCGGTGTTCTCTTTGCTTCTATGTTCAGCTTGTCCCGTCTCAGGCCTGAGTTAACATCCTGTTTTCAAATTTTGCAATATTTCAACAAAATTAAATTTTGGGAAATTATTACAATGCAGTTTGTGCGCAAATCCAGAATAAAGATCAGCCAAAATAAAACAAAAAATATGTGTTTAGAGCAAAAACCATCCGGTTCTGATTTATAGTCGGTCAACCAGTGTTTCGCTAATAAAGATTGTGGGAGAATGTATTTGGACCGTAATTAAAATGCAGTGGTTGCCCCTGCGCATTTTATTGGCTTTTAGAATTTTCAGAGTAAGCTTTCATCCCAAAGCTGCTAATTGCCCTGTTGTATATAGGGTCATTTGGCAGGCTAAAGATGAAGGGTAAACTACTGTATGTAACTTTTGATTTAGGTCTATGGAAGTTCTATGCATTTAGATAGCAAGCAAACAAAGAATCAAGAAGTGAGGTCAAATCACTTTTTGGTGAAAATCCTTAGTTCTTACTTTTTGAGAAACTCTGCCTGGCCACAGATTTTCAGCAGGTAGTCGTCCACATCAATCATATCCAGGTCATCATGGGAATAGCAGAGGGTCTGATAGATCAGCAGGTCTATGGTTGAAGATCCTTTGTGAAGAGAAGAAAATACTAACAATTACTTGCTTGATGAGAAATAACTATCCAACAGTGTAAATAAGTAACTAAAATGTTTAGAAATAGCATAGATCTGTTACATACGTAGTCTGTACAGGCAATAACTTAGTGTATATGACAGAGGACCTTCTAGGAAAATAAGATTTTGAAAAGTAATGTTTTTGTAAGTCTCTTAAGCTTCCCATGGTTGCATTTGATCAAAAATACAGTGCATTCACAGATACATAACAGGCATAGTGAGAAATATTACAATTAGAGCCAGACCGATATATCGGCTGGCCGATATTATCGGCCGATATTAGGCATTTTACAAAATATCGGTATCGGCAGTTATAATGGCCGATAAATGAATAATAAAAATAAAACGGACGAAACACGCTTCAAACATCTCTCCTTGGCCTGTTATATTGAAAACGTATGTTTTACAATTTGCAGTATGATGATATCTATTGCTAAATTATGGCTCATCATAGACTAGCTAACCACAAAGCTAGCTAATGCCACTATCATCAGTGGAAGTCCGCTACGTTAACATTAATGAGCTTGGAAACAACAATGAACTTTTTCTGCCTAAGAAAAATAATGAGTACTGTATTCATAACTAGCATATCTCTAGTTACATTCCCTGCATTGTAAAATGTAAGATATACTTGCGAGGAGTGAACATTTAGACAAAAGTATCAAACGCATCTTGTGCAGAAAAGTTAGCTTTTCTTTTACACGTGTGTGAAATCCAACAATATTTAATAAAAATAAAAAAAAATATCGGCCAATATATCGGAATATCGGATTTTAAAACCCAAAAATATTTGTAACGGTATCGGCATTCAAAATCCTTTATCGGTCGGGCTCTAATTTCAATTAAATAAAAAAATTTCCATTTGAACATATTAGCCATTTAGTTATTACTCCAGTCTTCAGTGTCACATCTAATGGTCAAGAAACATTTCTTATTAACAGCTGAGCTGCCTCAATGTTTTAGTGAAACTGAAAACAACAAATGCTGTTCTTTTAGATTTTCTATTTGAACAAAAATCCTGAAAAAAAGTAACATTACAAATATCTTTTACTCTCCCTCTTTTGTATGGTTTATGGTTTTATTAGCTGTATTTGGTTGTAAATTAATCTCTTTAAATATAATACTTTCGGTCACACTGATCCTCGCTTTTGCGCAGGATAAATGTTGCAGATTGTAAAAATTAATTAAATATGGTAGTTATCTCTTAGATACTAAGAGATAGCTTGACTTAAAAAACCTTTTAACTACTTTAAATCATGAATCGCTTGAAGCTTGAGAAACTAGTTTCCAAGTAACTTCCCCAAAACAAATGCTAACAAAAGACAGTGAGCACACAAAAGAAACAAAGAAAAAGAAAATAAGTGCCCATTTTCCCCCTTTAAGGTATTGGTTTGTCTTGTAGCGAGATCAATAAGAGGTCATCAATTAGTGACAAGTTTGTGCATCCCCTCCTGGAAATGGACATACGGCCAGATACTCCCCCGATACAGTAAATTAGCACCTAATGATCTGATTCTGAATACATTCAGTGGACAGACAAAGATGGGAATTTTCCCTTGGTTTATAGTAATGTTCGTCACTTTAATGGGAGGATGTGGAAGAATAGAGTAAGAGCAGAGGTAGGGATGAACCAGAAAAAGGTTAATCCACCCTTCCCACAAATTACACTCAAACTGGGCAGATGCACTGCGGTCACAGTGGGAGCACATTTTGGAGAAACGCCCATCTCACACACACCTCAATGTCCTCCGTACTTTCTCAATAATGAATTGGTCACTTCTGTTTGAACATCACTCTTGAGGCTACACTTAATATATATTTTCTACCACAGAGTGCAAGCAGAGCATATGGAAAGACAGAAACAAGACACTTGTAAACCGCATTTGTTCAGCAAGGCACAATTTCCACATTTCTTGTTACTGGTGATGAAATTCTATGTCAAAACACTTCATTCCAGTTTACTATGCTGAGAATAGTAAACCCCTTTGTCAGTTGATTTCCACCAAAAGTGTAAACACAGCCATTCTTTCTTTTTTTGTTGTTTTTTAACATTGCTCTGTTTGAGCAACGCTGACTCATGAATTGACCAATGGCGTGAGTTTGAGGGCAGACTATTCGTTTATATTCACTATATACATTTTCAATTTTAAACTTCTGAATTTTGGAAGTCAGGCTTGGAAACATTTAAATTGCTAGTCATTTCCAGGTTTTTCATGAATATGAGAATCTTGTCAAATCAAAAGGGCAGTTTATACATTATTCAAACCCAATGACTATTTTTCGATGGTCCACTTTAGACACTCACTAACTCGGCAGTTGTGGCCAAATGGTTATATGGTCGGACCAAAGTTCGCAAGTTTGAGTCTAGAGTCTCTGCACAGGCACAAAATGGAGGTGGGGGGAAATTATATTCTGTGCACTTTCATGCATTCACTGCGTTTATGTGCTCAATACTCACTGCCGTGCATGTGTACTTGGATGGGTAAAATGCAGAGCACAAACTCAAAGGATGGGACACCATACTTGGCTACACGTCACTTCACTATAAGTAACTATGCAACTACATGTCAACTGACTCAGTTTTTAGTAGACTTAGGTTAGGTGTCGGGTATGTACATAGGTAGCAGATGGTGAAGCAGACACTATTTTGACAGTCTACTACTCAACTTGGAGTAAGTTGACACGGTTGCAAGGTTACTTATAGAAGTAGAATGTCTAAAATGGACCATCAACATAAAGTGTTATACTTAAGTATGCATTTTTTCACCAAGGGAAGCATGTCCTAATATTGTTGTACATGGTATAACGACAATAAAGGCACTCTACTCAGCTTGTGGGCTGGGCTGGTGATGTTTACTCTATGCATTACAGTAAACATGCCCATGCCTTATGAACCATTTTGAGTTGATCTGCATAATTTCAGTAACATTTAGCAGATTTCACAGCTGCGTATGTCACAAAGGAAGACCCATGTAAAAATAGCAGGCAGGCAGCCATGATAAATTGCATCTGTGAAGCAAATCATGCAAGATAAACAAGTGCAGTGAATAAGTGCGAGTGAAACCATGTTCACGTCATATTTCTCGGGCCAGTCTCGAATCTAGCCACATGAGGCCATATTTGTTTGTGTCTTTCTCTGCGTGTGTGTGAAAGAGTTTGAGAGTGTTCCTCCAAGGCAGGGGAATGAAAAGCTGCCTCTTTTAATTGAGTACACAAAACAGATGGCTGGCAGAACACCCATTCAGTGTAATGCCATTAAGAGAATTCAGAGTTTAGAGCAGTCTTTCCAATGAGATCCTGTGGCCCTGTTCAAAAGTATCAGGATGTGGAAGAGAAAATACAATTTACTTTACAATTTCAACCAACCTCAACAGAGTAGATGCAGAATCTTTCAAACGTATTGCTAGAATATAAATAAAGGCAAGAGTGACAACCCAAGTTCCCTTAAATTATTGTTCAGACAGCGTACGAAACCCGACTCCCAAACTTTTCCGAAACTGCTATGGTTACCACGACGTCAGTCACAATGCTCTGGAATCTCACGTTTGGAATTCAATTTTCAGATCAAATAAATAGTAACAAGTCTTATTATGTTCAGCAATTTTAACTAAAGCACAGTTGGGGACGTTGTGTTTTGCTTATGATTGGAATATGTCATTACTAACTAGATTCCACACACACCACATACAATTACTGTAAATGCAGTTATCACTACCTGCATTTTTCTGGAGTTAATGTGGTTGTAGAGTGCAGTTGTCACTCCCGTAAATGACTCAACTGTGTGTGAAGTTGTGAAAAGAACAGGATTAAGCAGTAAAGGGTGAACTGACAACCAAATTTAGCTGCAATGTGTAGTAAGTGAATACACTTAAGCTCTTACCATCACAAGAGAAAGTGTGCGGTTCTCTGAAGTGGAAACTGTAAACTGTGACCTTTATGCTGACCCCTAGGCCCTGCTGCAGTTCATCTTGAGCCACACATGGGCTCCAAACAAAGCCCGCATTTTTTGAGTAGTCGTTGCACGGGTATGCCAATCGTAGCCTGATGAAAAGAGTAAAGGATGTACATACAATTGAATTAATATTCTAAACAAACATCGTATACAAACAGCATTTTTTTTTAATAAAATGAATTTTGTAACAAGACAAATACACAATGTAGCAACTTACAAGTCAAGTACATGACAGAAGGCCGCCACTTCTTCATCCCTCTCTTCAGACACCTGAAAGAGCTCGTAACCAAAGCCATTTGGTCTGGAACCCAGAGATACCTAAAAGGATTTAAACGTTTTATTAAATACATTTTTATCTGACAGTAAAAAAAAAAATATATATACATATTTTATAGAATTTCTATGAATGCTTACTGGATCAACAGATACTCTGCGCTGGCTTCTAGTGCTCTTCTGTCCCGGAAGATAGGTGCGGGGAGGAATTTGTGGAGGAAGGGTGTTACTGCGAGCTACTGCCTTCCCTGATTTGTCCCCGTTTACTCTCAGGCTTCTATTAGGTGACAGCCAATCCCCATTTAGCTTGCTCAGGGAGTCATTGAGGTTGTCATAGTTCAGAGTGTCTCTGGAGGAAAGCTTGGGCCGGTCCACCTCAGGAGTGAACAGGTTGACATCCCGTGGGGCTAAGCTTCGATGGACAATAAACGGATCGTTCTGGGGGAGAGGATTCCTGGGCGGCACCGGTGGCGGAGGCTCATCTAGGGATGGAAGCCCTTTTGACAGCGATTGCGATGTTCCTTCAAAGTCACTTTCCCATTCGTCCAGGATGTAACGAGACGGAGGCTCCTTACTGAATCCGTGAGTCTCACCGCTGGAACGTGATAGGTTCGACACTCCGGGTTGAATGTGGTTGAGCATGGGGTCAGACTCGGACACACTTTGCTGCAAATTATTCCAAGGGGGACTGGGAACACGTCTAGGCAGGGTGGGCTCGCTCCTTGAGGGCGAGGACTTGCTGGTGTCAGGGGGTAGCGTATTTGCTGGGCCCTTGTCCTGTCGATGGCGGGCGAGGGCGTCATACTCCATCTGCAGGGCCTCTGCCAAGACCAGCTCCTTTTGGCTGAGGCCAAGAGATTCCAGACAACCCCAACGTTGTTCCTGGTCATTTTGAGTCTGCGCCGCAGACATGTTCCTGCAGTGCACACAAGGAACGCAGAAAGGAGCTTGACGGCGCTACGAGTTGCACAACCAGTTCATTAGGCCCTGTTAGGAGACAAGAATGAAAGAAAATGAAGCATGTTATTGATATTTCCCACTCATAAAAATTGCATTATCTGAAGCCAGAATAAAAAAAAATATTTCATCAACTTTCCAAGAGATTTTGACATTCGTCAGAAAAAGGCTAGCAACTTAAACCTCATGTAGCCTTTCAAAAAACTGATTATAAATGGCAGCAATATGTCAGCCAAACAGAAAAACGTACACACTAAACTAGAGGTGGAAAAAAGCCAAATATCAGCCGTTATGTCAGCCTAGGTGGTATATACTACTGTAGGTCAACCACAGAAAACGTCAACAAGAACGAATTGAGAATTTAGGGAAACACCAATATTAAAATTTAATTGAATTCTGTACCGTTGCCAAAATTAATTAAAACGCACAAAAAAAAAAAAAAAAAAAATTTAAACATCACAACATTATAACGCACCGTATGAAAAATTGATATTCATTTTGAGATTTGTGAAAGATTTCATAAACCACTTTCAGTAAAAATGGTATATTTAAAAAACTTTAACATCGGCCAATATGTTACAGGACACGTCCACATGAAGCCGGTGCATTCCCGATCCTATTTTTTTTCCTCGTTCTGAAAAAAAAAATCCGTAAACATGGCGTCGTCTCAAGAAATATCTGCGTACACACGACTAAACCACTGTATGGGGCGCTATAATTTTGCCACAGAGATACACACTATACAAGGAGAAGACTTTGAGCATGCGCATAACCTTGCGCGCTGTATACAAACTTTTTTTTTTACAGTCTTACGAACCAAGAAGATGAAGATGCCATGTGACGCAGCCGACACGTGATGTGATGACATCATCGTTTCACAAAACATACGGATTGGCTTTACAGACGAAACCGCAAGGGTGTGGTTTTCAGATTTATCCACTTTGGGACCCGGTTCAAAAAAAAAAAATTGTGGTTTCACTCTCCCAAAACGCCGGATCCGTACGGACAAAACGCCAATACGATAAAACATTTATACATATACAGCGAAACACGTCTTCGTGTGGACGGGCCCACAGTAGGCTTGCCGCGATAGACGGTGTTGACGGTGTTACCGGTTTTAAGCCCCATCACCGGTGACATCACTTTCCCACCGTGACACCGCGATGTCTTGACTTTTTTTTTTTAAAGTATTCGTTTTTGCTAAAATATTTATTTGAATTAATTAAAAATTATAATTTTCAATTATTTAGTTCTGAAGAGAGCATTATAATTAAAAATGAACTGCGCAACGCGTGCCGTCACGTCACAGATCAGCAAGCATCAGCTTCCATTTAGCACGTGTGGAGACGAGAACGAGTCAAATTACAGAAAAGCAAGATAATGGCGGAAGATTTGGTGTCAAAACGCAATGCAAAAGCGCCTGTTTGGCAATATTTTGGCCAATATATATATTAATGTTAATAAATGCCAATTTATAGTGTTTTACTTTTTTTTAGAGTGCATTTATGTAGGCTAAGGTCCTTTTTAAAGTTTTTATTTTATATTCGTCTCTTTTTATTTGGTTTTATCTTATTTAAACTTTGTTTAATTTATTTAGGCCTATTTTGTTTTCTTATTCGTTAATAAACGTTTTATTTTTTTTGGGCCCACAGTTTGCCGATTTTCACTTTTTTCAGCCTATGCATGGGGTTATTTTTATTCGTTCGTTATGCTAATAAAAGTTCTGTCTATATTTTATTCGTTTATTATTCTAATAAAAGTGCTGTCTAAATAAAAGTTTATTGTCAGCGAGTTTTTTTTTTTTTTTTTTTTTTTTGTCCATTCCAGCAATTGACGCTGAATTGCAATTGACGCTTATTTCGAAAGTGAAAGTATGTCATTTATGTAGGCTAAGGTCCGTTTTGAAGTTTTTATTTTATATTCGTCTCTTTTTAATTGGTTTTATCTCATTTAAACTTTGTGTAATTTATTTAGGCCTATTTTATTTTCTTATTCGTTAATAAACGTTTTATGGTTCTTATTTGTTTGGGCCCACATTTTGCCGATTTTCACTTTTTTCAGCCTATGCATGGGGTTATTTTTATTCGTTCGTTATGCTAATAAAAGTCTATAAATAAAAGTTTTATTATCAGCGAGTTGTTTTTTTTGTCCATTCAAGCAATTGACGCTTATTTCGAAAGTGAAAGTATAACGCGCACGCATTTAAAAGCTATTTAACCCCCCCGCCCTGCCCTCCACGGTGACACCGGGATTACCGGTGTTGTCACACGTCGATTAACCGGTGGGAAATTTTCCTCACCGCGGCAACCCTAGCCCACAGATATACTGTAGAAAACACCTGTAATATCTAAAGTAAATAATTAGACAGAACCATTTAACTAATGAACCTCTTGAACCACATATGGATCAAAGAGCCACATGTTCAGTCACAGATGTGAGCTGTTTTTAGAGAAGTGCACGTGTGAGTCTGACTTTTTTTGTCTTTGGCTCTGATCATCTGGCTCTTATTGCCGTTGCTTGCTCAGCAAAAAACAGAGCCAAGCGGATCTCTCTCTTTCAGCACAGTCATCATCAGTGCAGGTTCTTCTGCAGCACAACAGTTCCTCAAACTGGGGGAAGCCGTTCTCTCTCCTGCACATGATGAGACTGATGTGCCATATTAAGAGACCGGTTCCTGTGGAGTCACAGCTGGACAGATGCTAAGCTTTGAATTTAAATCGACCCGAAGACCTGCTGAGTGCCTCTAAAATGGATTTAGCGTTCAATCAGGCTTACAACATGTACCGTGACACAGCTGCCGCCCCATTGAAACACAGAACCATTGGGTTTAATGGTCATCTAGTCCTGCACAATGGTAAATGGGTTCAGCTGGGAAACTAAGGTTAAATGACTTTCAACAAGGGGGGTAGTAATAACAAATAAATTGTAGAGTGATCCTAGACCTCAAAGTGGTCAAAAGTACACCACTTTGTGTAAAATGATATGGGTTATGGCTCAACAAAAATGTCTACGGTTCCCACAAAAACGAAACTTGTCATTTATGCACCCAAACGTCAATCCAAACCTGTATGACTTTCTTTGGCAAAACACGAAAGATAATTTGAAGAATTCTCACGGTTGTGGTCTAAAAGTCCAAAACACCATTGGCCAAAAACGGCTCCCCTGAAAGTGAGGATATGAAGACCGAATTTACATTTTTAGGCGAACTATGCCTTTAAGTGCATGACCATTTGTGACCTGTTGTTTCCTTCATAACATGACAAGTGGCAGGGGGTCTGCTTCTCCGCCCACAAACACAACTGTAGGAAATTCTCACACACCAGAAGAGTGGCACCAGAACAAAAGACTGAAAGAGGAAGCAGAAAGGCATCTACTTGACAAATTCCTGGACCCTTCCATTTTGCATCCCGAAAAAAGTAAATAAAAAAAAATCTGTGCCTCTGGTCATCACTGGGGGACGTTCATTAGAATGAATAAGGTAAACAAACTAAATGATTTTCCAGATCAACAGAGGAGAAGGAAGCAGGGGCATGACTGTGACGTGTTCTTCCATCAGCAAATCCAGTCACACGTTTAATATCTGATGAGCTAAATCAGGGTAGACAGAGGACTCAGATCATTACACAGTTTCAAACCAGGTGTGATGTGACAAGTTCTGTCCACAGTGAAAGTGAAACTTCAGCTTGACGCCACACTTGATGCCGCAGAAATACAAACTAAGTGGACAACAAAATGGCCAGGACAAACCTTCAGACAAACCCATGGAAAACAAGTGAAGTTAAGACATAGCATTCTCAGGGACCAACAGATGGACTGCACAAATATAAATATATCTGCTCCTAGACGGCCTTTATGGGGCTCTGCCTCATTCCCAGAAACTCCGGCCTCCCGTGGGCTTCCTATGCAGTCTCATAACTGAGCTTTGGCCGGAGGGGTGCAGCCAAGACAGGAGGGGTGGCATCTGCATTGTTCCACAGGGACCCCAGGCCAGCCAGATACAGGCCCCCGGAATCAATCCCCTGCTGGGATATAATCCCATTCAATCAGGGGTGGCTCCCAGATTGATCGAACAAAGGACAGGGAGGAGTGAGGGCAGCCGCGTCACGTGAGGCAGGGCCAACTCAGACACGTTCACACGGCTCGGAGAGCCAAAGACAAAGAGACCGCTGTCATCGCTGTCCCCCCATATACACCCCTCCCCCAACACACCCACCCACCAACAAATATCACACGGCTCCCTTCATGCCTAGGGTGTTCGCTTATGGCAGTTCCAGCTGATCAGGGCTTGTGCGCCGTATGCCGAGGCCTTCTATCATCAATACGCCTCTCTTCCTGTGGCGTTCCCACCCTAATATTGGTTCAAAGACCTCTAGGCTAGCAGACTCCACTCTGATCTGACAGGCAGATGGTGGAGAGCTTGCCAATGAAGTAACGTTCGGCCTCTTTGGAAGTCAGAAGAAAATAAGGATTGACGTTTGGCAAATATAAAACAAACCTTAAGTAAAACTAACTCCCAATTTAGATGAAAAGGGCAAACTCACAAACCCCACAGGAAGGTGACTCAACCAAACGCATGGAACGTGTAACCTGTTGCAAGACGAAGCGTGGCCAAGAACATCTTTAGTTCAGACATCTCAGTTCTACATAGTTTAAAACAGATTTTTGAGCTGATAAAATATTAATTGTTGTGACGTCTTTTTATTTTAACCCCCGTCTGACAGGTCTTAGGTGCATGGGTGGTTTCAGAGATACAACGCGTGAGATTTTGCACACTGATAATAGACCTGAAACAGGTAAATGTGTGAGACCAGTTTCAGATTTTCATGTTCCAAGAATGCAATCAAGCAGAGGATATAGCCTAAACCTGGAAGAAAACATAAGTCCTTAATCAAAGATGAATGACATCTCTTTTAGCCAAAAAGCGTTACAAAACATCAATGCAATTCTGGTTCGGCCAGTGTGGCATGGTGATTCAGAAACATGTGGAATCTTGAATCAGTTTTGCAGACTAAACCCAAATCGTGGTTATGGTGTCATCATATACATGTTCTTTTATGCATCTAAACACTGAAAGGCAGTGTAAACACCTGTGTGCAGTTGCATAAACCTCCTTGTGAACATTTCCCCATGAATCATTATAATTAATGCAAATCGTTTGATGTAAAATACAGTTAAGACTTGAATCAATTAAAGACGGAGCAGATACATCATAAAGCTTGTGAAGCTGACTGTATGTATTACCAAAAAATGTCTGCCAGTGTCTTTATAAATAATAGTTTTTGAATGATAACCTATTACTGCTACATCACTTATATAAATGTAAATACAAAAACTAATGCATTGAATTTAAATTACATGCATTCTAAATAAATAAATAAAAATAGCTTACCTTTAGCCTATATTTTATCTTTTTTATTTATTTATTTTTAAATGACACTTTAACGATAACTTACTTGATGCCATATGGAGTCAGGAGATTTTCTAGTTAGAAAAAAAAATCATGCAATCTCATAGATGGCATTTATAAAATAAATAAAAAACAACAGACACAATCGTGCTCTTTTCTGGTTAACATACAGCACCCTTATCCAATAGTTTACAAATTATGAAATGAATATTAAAAGATTTGCTTATAAGATAAAACAAACATTACATAGTAATATTGCCCAAATACAGCGTTTCCTCTGTTTTGATACACATTTAATAGGTAACGTTATATTAGTGGCTCAGAGCTCCCTACTTATTAAACGTCTATTTCAAATATAGGTCTATTTGAGGCTCAGACCCAAACTTGTCAAGTTGATAGTCATTTTTAAAACAGAAAAAAGCGATAATAGGGGTAAAACGCGGCGGTCATACGCCTCTGAAATTTTACATTTAAAGCAGCGCAAGAGTGTTTCGTTCTCAGGTCGGTAGAAGCTCATACTAACAAAGATTGAAAATTTACAGCCACTGCGCACAAACACCTGGTCGTATACAAATAAGAAGCGTTTGTAAACGCGCTCTCCGTGATAGTGAAGGAAAGAGCACATCACATACCGTGTGCTTGGCCTCTTTAGCGCCTGTGTCATAGTCCTCTTCGTTTATTATCAGGCTCAATCGTTGTTCTTTGATAGATCGTGATCTGGCGGTCGTTTCCGGTGTCCAGTGGCAAAAGATCGTGTATTGATCAGGGCCAAATCACGGGCTTGTCTCGGTTAATCCAAATGAGACGCATGCTCTTTCCTCCCTCGCTCTCTCGGTTTGTCCGACCGGGTTGTTTGATTGGAGACTTCGCACTGAGGATTCCAGAAGCTCACATCGCCCAGTGCTTGAGTGTAGAGACAGGAGACCTCGACAGAGAGGAACAATATAGCAGACTCTAGTGGACAACACGGGAACTGTGTGTGTGCGATGCCTGACTGACTTCAAACACTGCAGTAGAAGAACTTTTTCTTTCTTCTCCTAATACCGAAAAGGTTGTAACTTAAATGAAGAAACAAGTTGGCTTATTTAAATTATATAATATAAACATAACTTCAGTATAGTACAAATTATTATGAAACCATACATATCGGTATAGACCATATGAAAGCAAAATATAAGGCCTGAAGATGCTTTTCCCATTTTGTTTATTATTACTTTAATAATCCCTGAATGCATTTTTTTTTTTTGTGCAGGTAGGCTATATCCAAAACATTCAGAGTAAAAGACCAAATAACAATAAACATCTCAAGTCAAGCACAAACGGAACTCTTTGATTGACAGCACTATGAATAAAATAAATAATCCTTCAAAACGCTGATCAGCAAACAGCATTAAATAGCCTACCTAAATCAGGGATTCTCAAGTCTGGCCAATGAGATCCTCTTTCCAGAGTTTAACTCTGCCTATAACTTTATAAAGAGTTTATATTAGAGTTGGAGCAAAACAATGCAGGAAAGAGTTAAGAACCCCTGCCCAAACCATTACCAAACACAAAAGCCGTGAAAATATGAAAACAGAAATTTTTGAGGCCTGTAGATGACATATTCTGTTAACACTATACAATAGATACGGTCAGACAGAAATGCACTTTCTTGTAAAATATATAATTATCAAAGACAATTTAATGCAAGTCGTATTTTCTTTAGGAATGTACAGTAGTTGTGTACGTTTTTTCAAATGAAGCTGTGGTGCCATCTTGTGGTAAGAGCCCTTTGTCAACACAAGATGCTGATAGCCTACCCTTAAAAGTCACCATAAAATCAAAATTGAAAAATCTTTTTTAATGGAATATTGCAGTATTTATAATAAAAGACTTATCCGTGGAAATCATTTTTTTTAATTCATCATATTTAGTCAAAATAGCTTCCCCTCCCTCTTGCAAACAGCTGTGTCCCAATTCAAAGGATGCATTCCCGAGCGTTGTTACTGTAAATGGGATGGTCTAGCCTAAAAAAAGAATGTTTTTGTCACCTAGCTACTGTGACACTGACAGCTGTGGTTAATGAGTGGCAGCAACGTTTCTGCTAGATATTTTTGAAAGTTAAATTAAACTCAAACTGTCTTAAAACAATAAAGGGTTCAATTATTATGTTCACCATGGTGTATTTCTGTATATAATAAAGAGTATAAACTGATTGCATCTTAGAAAGATATGTCAACAGTTAAAGTGCTTTACAGTTTGTTTGTTTTTTTACATTTGTATCATTAGATATTTGACTAAGTATCACCCAATACTTATGTTTAAACGTTTAAAAACTCTGACGTGCAATGAATTCTGGGGAAGGCAAGGCCGCGAAGGATCCATTTGTTTTATTCTTTATTTAATGGAAACCGAAGGATGTATTTGGAGGCCGCATTTGAAGGAGCTTTCGAATTCGGACACCCAAACGGCAAACGGCTTTCGAGTGGCGTGAGGGCAAGGTGACCTGTCACTCACATGAGATCTCAGTAAAAGCAAACTGCAACAATCCAATCAATTACCGATGAACAAAATTATATGTCCAAACAGGGAAGAAAAGACTTTCATTGCATCTTTCGAGTCATTTTTGTTAACTAAAACTATTAGAAATTGGTTTTCATAATTAAAATCAAAGAGGTAGGCTATAAAATAAGTGGAAGTATACTACTAAAACTAAAACTGGAATAAAAATAAAAATAAAGCTGAAAATACATATTTTTAAAAAACAAATAAAAATGACAAATGCACAAAAATGTAAATTTAAAAGTAAAAACTGAAAACATTCAAATAAAAGGTAATTCGTAATATTATTAGCCTAACACTATATTAATATCCTAAGATAAAACTGTTTGATAGTTCACATAAATATGTTTGGATGGCTGAAACAGACAAATTTTTATACAGGTCTGTACCTTGATACTGAATAATTGCAATATGCCAATACCATGGGTGTCCACAAAACATTGGATTGTATACCAGGCCATACCATGAGACCATGGTACTAAACTAAACAACACGTATAGCTATAGTCAATTTTAGTCATGCTGTAATTTTCTTTGTGACCACTAGAGGCAGCATATGCGCGTGCACACAAGAGCACAAGTGTGCAGTGCATACACACCAGTAACTGCAGGGAAGTTGGACCTGTAGATTGTGTAACCTTGGCATAAACTACGTCAAAACATTGACAGGCAGGCAGGGTACTGAGAGCTTTTACTTTGTATTCCGAACATCACAGTGAAGTTTGTCAGTGCCTGGCAGTATGTAGGCTAATGTGAGCAGTGCAGGCCTTTGTCTTTAGTTTAGTATGCAGAATTGACTTTTGCAAGCTGAAGAGAACAAACTACTGGCTGCATACGAGATTAGATTTACCAGCTTTCAGCACTTGACTTTAAACTCATCAGAGACATTTTGTGCATATTCTTTAAACAAAATTGTTCTTTAAGCTGGAAGTTATTTTAATTTATTTATTTATCTTTATTTTTTTTATTTTTTTTTTGAAGGTCCACTGTTGTAGCGTATTGCCTTTGAAATCTCCAGATCACGTAGCAAGCAGATAGTTTGAACACTGGCTGGTTATGTATTTTCTGAAATATAAAAAAAAACTGGATTGTTGTTATTTGCTATTGCTGTGATGTCATTTGAGTGACAGGTTGCCCCGCCCTCACGCCGGTCCACACGTCATCGGAGAAGAGAATAGATGTCACTGCAAGAGGGAGGGGAAGCTATTTTGATTATAGGCACTTGAATGTAAGAAGAAAAAAAGATGTGCACGGATAAGTAATGTTATTATAGGCCAGGCATTGTCAATTTTGACTCCGTGGAGACTAGCCTACCGTTTTTCTAGTTTTGCTATAGGAAATTGCTTTTTTAATCATCTCTGTAAAGCGTTTGTGTAAAGGTCCTAAGCAGATTGTGTCTTCTCTGTTTATATTTGTACATTTATGATGCTTATAAATGGGGATATGCATTCAAGGGGGTATTCGGCTCTGTTACATGTGTATTGTTGAACTGGGCCAGTGTGACTATTGTAATGGATGATGTAAAGTTCCCAGTCAAAGAGCTGTGTGTTTGGAACAAAAGGCCATTGATGAAGAATGAGTGTGTCACAGCCTGTCATAATACATTTTCAGTGCACTAATGCCCAATATATAGGCTATTTCTTTCATTAAACAACAATAAACACTATACCATTCAGACGTTTGGGGTTTGGTGAGATGGTTTTAAAAGAAGTTTCTATTTTCACGATTGAAAGCTGCATTTGATTAAAAAATACACTAAGACAGTAATATTGTGACATTTTATTACAGTTTTATCATTTGATATATTTAAAAAATGTCATTTAGGTTATTGCTGCAATGGCAAAAAAAAATTGCAGCAGCCAGTCCAGACTTCAGTGTCACATTATCCTTCAGAAATGTTTGCTGATTGAAACATCTCTTCGCCTATTATTATCATTTTTATGTGGAAAACAGTTTAAAAACTATGTGATTAATCCTGACAAAATATTGATAGAAAAATAGAGCGGCCGGTTCACTACATTTTATATTGTTGTGATTAATATAGGCATTAAACACGTGATATTAAACAGACTCCTCATATACAGTGCAGCACGAATGCAGATGATTGGAACACCTGTCCGGCTGGAATCGGAGGCGCGCCCTCAGGAGCGAGCGTGGGAAGTGAGCGCGCGCTCTGCTGAAGGGTCGCACAGACAGAGAAGCAAGGGAGGATATAACCCGCCTTTACCGCATTACAGTGCGTATGGGAGAAACACTACATCGAATGTGGCAAAACCGACAGCGATACAGGTAAGAAGCGTGATGTTATCACAGCGCGGTCAGGGTTAATGAATTACAAGCAACTGGCCTTGTTCAACAGAGGATAAAAGCAGACTGGATTTGTGTTTAATCCTCGCGCATCCCGCGTGCTTCAGCCTCTCTGCGCATCTCTGAGTGATGCGGTCTTATTTCTGCTGCTCTGCGCAAATGTTCACAGGCGCTGTGTTATGAAGTATCCGGCTATATTTTACGAAGCGGCAGATAAATATAAACACAGCTTCATTTAAAGTGATCACCAGCCTTATTTAGATTAATAAACTCGGGCGTTTCGAGGCTGCCAAGTTGTGTACCGGTAGTTGTTCGGAGGCCGAATGTTGGGCAAGGATGCTGTGGGAGTGAAAGTGTCATCGCCCCATCCAGGGCGCTTCTTGGCTCAAGGATTTTGTGCGAACAGGACAAACATTTGCTGCTCTGTTTCTTTACATGGGGAGCCTTAAGGGCAGTTTTATTGGTAAATAGCATTGTAATATAATTGAATTTCTCTTAGGATGTTAGCTTGGCCTGTGTGGATAGAATAACTTTTGGAGTAGGCCTACATAACGTTTAGATTGTAAATCATCTTAATATTTTCAATTAACATTAGGCTTACTTTATATATAAATTGTGTTTTATATTTGCTTTGATTGCAATAGCCTATGAAAATTTGTAGGCCTTCATTTATTAGAACATCTATCTATCTATCTATCTATCTATCTATCTATCTATCTATCTATCTATCTATCTATCTATCTATCTATCTATCTATCTATCTATCTATCTATCTATCTATCTATCTATCTATCTATCTATCTATCTCGATCGATAACATCAAGTTTCCTTACTATACTGACATTCCCAAAATTCCATGCAGGCTGCATGACACTTAGTTCCTATTTGATTTAGTTAAAATAACTGTTTCTTCTGAGTTTTTTTTTCTTTCTTATAATTTATGTACATTAGGGTTTTATGTTACATTTAGTTGTTAAATAATTGTTTAATGCAGTACTTTAGTGTCATGTTGTTTATGGTGCTGATTAGTATTTATATGAATGAGATTGTGCACCTTTTATATTTTATCACCTTC